CGTCGATATCGTGCACAACATGTATGTGTTAGATTTCATTAAACCTACTGCTGTGATGTGATCGTTTTTTTTTTTTTTTTTGTGCTCTCCTCTCTAGGAGACTGATGTCTCCAGGTTCACGTGTGGACAAGTTCCCCGTGGGATGTGTGGTGTGGATACACACCGGTTCAACCTCTGGTGGAGAGGCTGACGATACGGATAGTTGTGTTGTGTGTCAGGTGGGGAGCGAGCAACCTTGTGTTGAAGCAAGCTTCAGCATCCAACCTACACTGACTCTACCTGTGGCAACACCCCGAAGGTAGATCTCCGACAGGTCATCTGACGTCACAATTTACGACAGTCTGAGGTGGCATTCACATCTCAGATATTTCTAACGTGGAGATACACGGCGCAAAAGTTGTTACTTGATTTCATGCCCCAACGTTCCCCGGAGGAGCGGTTCCAAAGCGTTAAGCGCCGAACAACGGGACACCTGATTTACTTGTTTTTTTTTCTCCCAAGACAGGGATACATATACTCGAAGTGATCCTCTCATTCCTACAAAGCCGGGGAAGCGTGGCGTATTCTCTACGCCGACCAAGCCTCCAAGTCACAGTAGGTAGGTTTGACCAGCGCTCTACAAATATCACCCGACATAACAGAAAGCAAAAGAAAAATCAAACCGCACTGCTTGTAACGTTTTCCGAAACATATGTACAATCCCAAGTTCCTCTTGCGAGACGGTGTGTGGCTGGCTCTCGCACCGTACTACCGTAACACGCATAGCAAGAAATTTCGGATACAGACATGCCTACGTTTTCCTCAGAACCCCACCCGATGGATGCATCGGAAGGCTCATTCGGAATGACGATGACATCACACAAAACAGCAGCAGCAGCAGCAGCAGCAGCAGCACTCCCTGGGCTACTTTCTTTCCCAGCACATCGGCAAGCGACCGCTATCAGTGGCATGGTATAACGTCACTCTCTCTCTCGATTCCGTGGGTCTGGGCAAAACGCCAAAATTTCGTACAATAAAAAGAATCGCCAAACTCAAAGACTCTCACACCACCCAGCAACCAGGAACATTTGATAAAAATCAGGATCGGGAGCCCAACGATATGGGCATGTGGGCCTACTAAACTCACGTGCGTGGTACTTGTGTCCGCAGGGACCCCTCAAGTCCGCCCTCCGCATGTTGCACAAGTCGCACACCGATACTACGGCCCGGTCGGGCGCCCCCCCCCCGCCCCTCGCCTGCCCCGATCCCGCCACCCCTCCCGATGGTGCCGCCATGGCGCCGTCGATGTTCATGTGTTCCACCGCACCTCCCGCTGCCCCCCTACTGTCGACATTGGGGAGGAGGGGACCCCCCCCCGCCTGTCCCGAGCTCATTCCGGCCTGCTGCTGCTGTTGTGTTCCCCTGCTGGTAAAGCGTTAAATTTCCAATAACGTTTTTTGCTCATTGCGTTGTTCTCAAGATCATGAAGGGCGCGATAGAAAAAAAACACTCAACAAGGACGCATAACTGCGAGAAAATACAACGGCCTCTTTTCCTCGTGTAGCCGGGGGCGTTGGAGTACAGCATTGTCAACAGAAAATGACTGTTCCTTCGCGCTCCCGAAAGTCACCAGAAGAGAACGGGCGATTTTGCATCTCCCCACTCTGCAGATGCCCGAAACTATTCAACCCGATACCCATTGTTAAGGAATAATAAAAACACACACAGAAAGACTAATGTTATTGTCTTCACATTAAAAACCGTTCCGGTCTCCGCTCAGTACCTCCTAATGTCAGTACTGGTCCAACTCACGCGGACGCCTTCCGTGGTCACAAACTTTGCTACAGAAATATCGCGCACAGATTCATCGCATTGGCTGCGTTTCGTCGGGGAGGTACAGGTATGCAGATGCATCTCAGAAATGTGGTCGACATCTACAAAGCGACAAGAGACAATGTTTGTAGCGGAGACAGGAGAAGGGAACGAGCTGATTGGATAGATCGGTATCTGCACACAAATATCTGGGCAAGGATAGAATAAGGGTACACACACTAGCACACAAAACTCCTGTGATTGGCACAACGGGACACAGCCTGGACATTCAACCCAAGCTCGCTCCCCGAAATTTCTATCTCGCTGCAGCTGTCGTGGGCAGTGCCAGATGACAGCAGTGGTATATATGCATAATGCCTCCGCCGTGATCTGGGTGGCGCGTTGTTCTGATCATTTACGGTACGCGTTAGCTATGCGGTAGGTACGCATGAGCGACAGTTCACGCTTCATGTCGGCACACCAATGGCTGGGGAAAATCAAGACGGGGCGGTCTCAACAGAGACATTATAACAAAACGAGTAGTCTAGCGCTGTTACGACCACCACACCGCTGCCCCTGTGTTTCGTACTTGTAGTTTCTTACGAGAGGAGCAAAAGACCACGCCGCCGCTTGAGAAATGATGAAATTATGGTGCGTCGTACGCATAGAAGTATGAAACACAAGGCAGCGGTGGGGCGGTCGTAACGGAGCCCAGTACTATAAAAAGTAGGTATTTAGGGAAGACATCGAGAGTTCGATGCTCACGAAAAAGTATGGACCCAAAACCACACGAATCCCTGGATATTTCCTGTCGGTTCCCCCACCTCGTATAAAAAGAGAGAGCGAGAGAGCTGCTGCGCAAAAAAAGAAAAATAAACTCCTGATTGTTTCGAAACAAGTGGCGGGTCGTTGCTGCAAGCTTATGAAAGTTTTGGGCAGTACCGCGCCAACGACCGCCTGACCAGAGGCCTCAACGAAAGAGTGTGTTCCGTAAATGTGTGCGCCGCGCCACCTCGCCTCAGGAGATCGATCTACCCGCCAGGCTCGGTCGTCGGGACAGATCAATAGATTGACGTTCGGGGAGGGATGTAACTGACGATGATGTCGTCATAACGGCGGTGGCGGAACGGAACATGGTTCAGAGAAACATTCACAAAGGGTCGTCAGTAGACCCAAACTGCTGCGAAGCAAGCCGGTGCGCACCCAGCAGCGGTACCAAAAATAAGCGGCGTCAGTGGCATCGGCGGTGGGACCTGAACCGACAATTGCCGTGCCGATGGTAGACAGCGACCACTCGCGCAAAACGATATTATATCTCCAACATTCCCCGTGTTAGATGGGCACGGGGGGGGGGGTCGTGGGCGCGTGATTAGCGGAATATATTTGCCCGCACCAACGTGCTTGTTGTAATGAAATCCGCCATCATGAGCAGAGCTACTGCTACAAATAGAGCAGTACAAGACTCGCTCATAAACAAGTCTTTCTGTGTGTGTATGCACATTTATTTTCCTAATAGTCTACAATATGAGAGGCGATCAGCAGAGCCAGATTATCTGTGCCGTTGTTCGCCGAGAATGCGAGAGAGCGGTCGACAGACCCAAGAACATTTGCCATGTGGAACATACTCCATACCAATATGTAGTAGGCAAAACCTTAACCCTTAGAGATGGAGCACTTCACACGACAGGGAGAGGCGGCCATTGCAAGAGAGGCGACCAAGGCTCTCTACCCCCCACAGCCCAGCCTCACAACCATTTGCGTGTCTTGGATACAAAACCTTCTTGAGCTCTGTACCCCAACGTGAGACAGACAGCGCCGGTGAGATACGGGCGGACTCGTGTCAGGCAGCACCTGATAAACATTGACCTGTTCACCAGCTTGTGTCAGGCATGATGTCATAAGCGAGTCCTTTGGTGTCGGCCTTGTAGCCAGGTTGTCAATACTCCTCCCGTCGCATCCGCCAGAGAGCTAAAAAGACAATCGCATGCGGTTGCTGTTGTCGCGTTCTATTTTTTTCTCTGAAACGAAAAAAAAACTCGAAATCATCTAGACGCATGCTTGCAACAAAAATAGCGTTCCACAGGAGTTCAGAGTAGTCAAGACGAGTCGTGTCAGAACGAGGGGTGCTGAACAGCCCCTTTCGTGAGGGAAAGCACAGCACGCAAAAGGCGGAGAAGAAACAACACTCCAATGTATGCCTTCCTCCTGCGCGACCCGGGCTAGTGCGTCAAACACATGCCGCAAGCTGTAATAGTCCGGCGCGCCCAGCAAAAGACACGAGGATGGGATGGAATACGCACACACTCAACAAATTACCTACCGCCTCCTGCTGTTGTGTGCATGCAGACAATCGTTCTTGTTTGTCTGCGGAAACTTTCCTAGGGATAGGTTTGGCGGGGGGTACGACGCACCCTACAACGGCCACAATCAGGCCAACAAGACGAATGGCAGGAAGTCAGAGATGACGAGCAGTACGGTCGCTTGAACGTACATACCACCTCACATCACGTAAGTGTGATCGCTTCACCCCTTTGTCCACAAGCAAGCAAGTGTTTTTCGCTGCTCCGACCTTTCGGTCGGAAAAAAAAAAAAGAAGGGTCATCCGTCCCGGCCAAAAATCATAAACTTGTTTCCAGGAGCGTAAAACACCAGGTACACATTCATCGACGATTGACTGACCTTGCGCTTGGTTCCCTTGTCGGTGTTGTTCCTTCACTCCTGCTGTCCGCTGTGCTTGGGGAAACGAAAGCTAATCCAAGGCAGGACCTACCTCACTGACCTGTGCGTGGTTTGACATCACGGGGGGGGTGTATGGGTATACCCACCGCCCGGGAATACGTTTTCCTCTGTGAGCCCCCCACTGCACCTCTCTCCAACCTCTCGCCTCGCTGGCCCGCCCAACCCCGTGCCAGCAGCAAATGCCAGCGCCACAGCACAGCAGCATAGCCATGAATGGCAAAATATGCGTTTCGAAGACCATGCTATTACTGTTGTTCGTCAGCATCGACGGTGGCGGGCCATCGAAGATATACGCCGTGGATGCATTTGTCCCACCAAGGCCACCATCGTATACAGCAAGTCTAGGGATTTTGAATAGTGACTGCAGGAATCGACCTCGGTGGCTGCAGCAGTTGAACCTGCCAATGCTGCTGTTACAGGATGAACTCCTGTTGTCAAGTTCTAGCCCAGGCAAGAAGAGCAGCTTGTCCATGGGGGGTAAAGCAACGGATCTCGGCGCCTCGCCTTGGAAGACCGACTCGCGGAGCGTCAGGGAATGGCTGGGCCTCTCCGAACGGGAGATAGACAAGCTGCGAGGGGCGCTCACATCCGCGTCACGCCGCAACCTCCTCGACCAAAGGCTCGACCTGCTGGCCAATGGGCAAACCGACTCTGTGTTGGTGAGGGAAAGGAGAGAGGCAGGCAACGGGAGGTCGTGTGCCAAAAATAGGGGAAAGGGAGCTCCAAAACTAAGCCATTTGGCTCGAAGAGCTGCAACACTGTCATAGGTAGCACTCAAGTCTACATACCTTGGCCTCGACCCCGTTGGTACACCTACCCGACCTCTCCCCTTTGAGGATTGTCTCGGGTGGGAAACAACGTAGTCCTCCTGCAATAGCGTTCTAGAAAGTGTTCCGAAAAGGAATCTGCGAAATCCTTGTTGCAATGAAGATGAAGGCATGGACCAAGGTTGGATTTCGACGGAGCGGCCCCGGTCTGTTGAATGAAGGGGTGACCTCGGCTCTTAAAGCACAGATGGTTGATGGAGAAGAGTAGACTGGCGTAAACGAGGAGGTGACGTCGATGAGATGAGTAAAACCCTGACACTTCCAATTCAAAGCAAAACAGTCCTTAGCAATCGCTGCCACTGCTCCTAAGCTTGTTGCGTTTGCGTGCGGGTCATGTGTACATCATCAGCAGCATTTGACGCGCAGCAGTGCTGTAGTAGCCGCAACATCGCGAACCACCCCGCATGTTTACCATCTTGACCTTGTGCCCTACCGCATGAAACAGGGTTTTCTCAGAGTGGAGTTTCGCATGTCTAAGGCAAACATTCGCTCTTTGATATCGAGGCACCCGCAACTCCTGTTCATGCCTCGACAGCAAGCGGTGGATCGATGTTCCTGGCTGGTGAGTTTGGTTGTCCAACTATTTACGACATTCAAGATGATGCCAACTATAACGTGCGTGCTGCTTGTACAATGCCACACCCGAGTCGTCGCAGGAAGACAACGCAAGTTAGAGATCTGGCTTAAACCCTATGTCAGGACTCCCCCTCTCCATGCAGCTTCTCAAAAGATATGCGCGTACGATTCGAGCGTACGCTAAGGCTACCGACATGCTCTTTGAAACCTCTCGCTGCGCTTTTTCAAACGTCATCGCTACATCCCGACCAACGGATTTCTGCCAGCTGCCGCTATCAACCCGCACGGTGTCCGCATGTTTGGAATCGTTTCGCGCGCAAGTCGGAGACTCTCAGCCTCAGCAAGAAGAAACTCGTGAAGATGCTGCTAAAGTTCCCCAGGTTGTTCGGGTATAGCGAGAAGGGGAGCTACGCTCCCCTGGTAGAGTGGTTCAGATCATACCTGGGGATGGACACTCGGGAGGTAAGCGCCATTGCTGCCTCTTTTTTCCCATGAGAAAATGAGAGTTGCGATAAGGCAAGGAGCTAGGGGTTGCGGTAGAGTGGTGCACAACGTTCATCGAGCGGTTGCCCTGACACTGATTAGGCAGTATCGTTTGGTCTCTTTTGGGAGGCTAGCCCCGAACCAGAAACGAACAGTCACCCGCCGTTTCTTGTTGACATCGAGAGCACCAATGGTTGCCGGGCACCGAGTACTGCGGAGCAACAGCAGTTGTAGTGTGTGCACCTCGAGTGTACCCTGTCTCGCCCATTTGGGGATGTTGCCCGATGATGGTACCAGCGGCAACAGATTACCAATGTGTACGCCCGGGGTCGTTCGGTTGGAATCTGTTGATAGCAATATCGTCACCGAGCTAGTGAATCTCGCGCCCGTCTTGCGCCCGTAAGGCGCGACACAGATGCTGTCGCTGCATGTCTTCACTTAAAATGTTGTTTCAGATTTTGCCCACAAAAGCGGTGGTTTGCTGCAATTCAGCACCCACGTCGACTGCCGTCTCGCACGAATGACCTGAGGTTCTGCAGCAATCACGATCCCATGCCCGGAACTTTTGCGCGGTGTTGTTTCGCACTTTGTATACAGGTGGCGCGATTGGTGGTCCGACTACCGCAGCTTTTCAGCTTCAAGCCCGATGAGAACATTGAGGACACGGCTAGGTGCGTTCTGTGCGTCATGTCTGTTGCCAAGGGAAAGCTCCCAAGACTCATCGGTATGCTCTGCCGTAAATTTGAGCACCTCCATCTTTGGAGTAATCAACCAATATCCCATGGGCGTCAGCTTGGGTATTGAACGCATGCTTCTGGGGCAGGCCAAGGCGCAATAGAGAAAGGGTCACTGAAACCTGATTCGCCAACAGGATAACTGCAGGCTTATTTCTCTAGTCGTGCTAACCACCCTACTGTCGCAGGTTTTTGGAGTCGCTCGGGCTTAGCCGCAAAGAGGTCTGCAAGATGGTGCTTTTGCATCCCGAAACTTTCAGCTGTGAGTGCTTTGTCGCGACTGGGGGCACTGGATAGTTGGCTGCCTTTGCTATCTTCCCGCTCGGCCGCGCATCCTTGTCCCGCCAAAGGACTGCGTGCTGCTGCTTGTGCTACGCACCAGAGCAAGGTTGTGTTGGTGTTCGTTGTGCTCAATATTTCGCAGCATGTCTGAACCAATTCATGACCTTTTGCCCTCTCGGCAGGCCTGAACAGCAGTGAGGTGTGGGCCGCGTTCGGGAAATACGGTTGCCTCAACCTTGCGAAAACCGTGTGAAAAGGCGATCTGGGCACACCGTTAGGCGATGAACTTGGAACGTTCTCGCCCCCCCCCCCCAACGCAAGCGCGTTTTGTCGTCCTACCCTTTCGCACAACCTTCTTTGGCCGACTTGTGTGCTACAAGCGTCAACCCAAAGCTGCCGTGCTGCCTTCCTCGCCCGTACGACCTTGCTTTGGTTTCGCGCAGACAGTATCGAAGAGAAAGTAATTCCAATGCTCGAGTGGCTGCAGAAGGAGCTGAGAGCTTCACCCGACGAGGTGACTCCCTGGTGAACGCTTGGCGTCGCGCGAAAGCTTTGAACCTCTTAATGGGATGATGCTTGCCTTTTAAAGCAAGAGGGTCCGACGCAATCGGAGAGCAAGTGTTAGTGTTTCACTCGCGCGTGACGTTTCTGTTTTTGCAGGGAGCACCGCAGGTCGAGATTGTGATGCTCCACGGTACATAAACAAATAAACGATTGGGAAGCGTGGCGCATGGCAAATCCTGTGGTGTCTTGCATGACCCCACGCCTGCTGCGGTGTGGTGTGTTTGCAGCCGTTGCTCCTCCCGACTCCTTGTGCGTACTTCATGGTGGGAATATGGCGACGTTTCGCCTCCGAAGCATGGGTGTCTGGTGGACGGGTCATCTGGTAAAATCTCACTCTTGGTTTGTACCCTCAGGGGTGTTCTAAACTCTCCGAGGGTGTTTCAAACAAAAACCTCACGCCCCCCTCAACGAATAACCCTTTGAGCTCTCATCCTCGTCAATCACATGACACTGTGCGGTTCCTCCCGGCAGGTGATACAAATGGTCGCCAGATATCCCAGCCTCTTGGGATGCAGCCAAACGAAGAATCTGGCGCCGAAGTTCTGCTTCTTCCGCACGACCCTGAAGGCATCGGTTGCCGACATTCGAGCCGCCGTGGTGGCCACACCGAGCCTCCTCGGCTACAGCCTCGACTATCGCATCTGCCCGAGGGCGACGCTGATGGTCGAGAGAGGCGTCGTTCCCGACTTCGGCGAGCACAGGTGGCTGTTGACCACGGCCTCAGAAGAAAACTTTGAGCAGTGGATGAAGGCCAACAGCGGCACATATCGGCTGTAAACTGCGCGGAGGCTAAAGCTGGCGCCGGGCGCTAAGGGACAGAAGGACCGAGAGTGGGCAAGCTTCGAGGAGCAGTGTCACCGGTCCTGTGTGCGCTGTGAATAACCTCGGTGGGGTGATCGGTTTACCCTGTTGTCAACAACAAGATGACGACGGGTTCGGAGAAGATTCGCCACCGGGCGCCCAGAATAGAGCTACGTGACCATGGCTGGCCCAACGCTCGTGCTGTGTACAGGCGGGCGGGGAAACGCGCACTAAACAGACTTCAGGAACTTCTGAGTCCCCGCCTTGAATGGCACCCTTTTTTCGTCCGGAATATGCGCAAGATAAAACGTCAACGCCGTCAAACGGACGAGTTCCTCGCAATGGCGGGGTCGGAGCGCCACTCGCGCCACGTGCTCGTGCATCCCGCGACTGTTTCGTTTTTGAGACCACCCCCGACTTCTCGCTTCTTGTCTACAATGACCTAAGCCAGTCGCCAAAGAAAGACATGAAGGATATGCATGGGTCTACCCGGTAAATTGTCTGCAACGTGGCCGCTCGACTTTGTCGCGTCTGGCAGAATTGCGGCTTGACTCCAAACAAAGCTTTGTCCTTTTTATATTTTCAAACGACAGGTGCCGCCGGATTGTGGTTGGTACGCTTGTTCTTCCGTCTTCACAATAACACAGATTTCCAACACGTCTTCTAGAGACTTTTCAGCTTTTCAAGTGCATGATACACGCTACTCCGTTGGTACTCACCTTCCAAGATCATTGACGAGGTACACCGCGTTAGTCTTTATCACGAACAAACCTATCGACTACAAGCTGGGCCAGCCAAGAAGTCAACAAAATGGTTAGAAGGGATTTCCGAGCCGGTTTTTACGAATTGGAACCTGAAATTTTGATATGTGATTGGAAACAGTCTTACAAACGCCCCCGAGTCAGGTGCCGTTTTTTTTTTTTTTTTGGCGAGGTATCCCTATATTCAATAACTGAGAATCCTAGCATCGGGGTTTTTGTGGCTTAAAAAAAAAAAAAAAAACGGCACCTGACTCGGGGGCATTTGTAAGACCACTCCCAATCACATATCAAAATTTCAGGTTCCAATTTGTAAAAACCGGCTCGGAAATCGCGATATCCTCACTTTCGCTCAGTATCTTGTGTTAAGGACGACCCGATTCGCAGGGTATCCGTCGATTGACTTTTACCAGAATCGGTACACCTTCGTTATGGCGTCAGCTGGATACTGGTTCGAATCTCCTTGGGTGCACGTTTTTTTTCTCCTGACTTGGACAGTTCCCATGGACGCATTGTGTGTCAGTCCTGAGAACACCTCTTGGAATCGATCCTATAAAGAACCTTGTGACACTTCCATCGAATTACCCGTCCTGGCCACAAGAGGTTCCCAGTTGAGGGTAAATTCTGTGGGTGGAGAGTGTTAAGGAGGACCCGATTCGCAGGGTATCCGTCGATTGACTTTTACCAGAATCGGTACACCTTCGCACTTGGGTGTTGTATAGGACCTTTTACGAAGCCATAACTTTTGATGGAAGACGACCTGAGCCTTGTAACTACCATCATTGTTCTGGCAATGCTCCCAGGTAACTAATTTTCGGCTTAATCTGTAAAACTTTTTTAATACTGATTTCAGTACCGGAACCATCTCCCACTACACCGCCAATTGAGCATTCAATACCCAAATCAACTCAGATTCGAAAAATTCTGGCACCGGCGCATCCTCGATGGTCTTCCAAGTGTAGCCACAAAATTTCAAGCCTAAACTCGCGGAATTGGCAGCGTGCGACGCGAAACAACGAAAGTGAGCTTCTTGGCTGGCCCAGCTTGTAGTCGCAGCCTTTTTATACTTTATGTTCAACTGCAAGGTTGACAACATGCACTCAGCACAGTTACACCCATCAACACAACAGGGCTACATCCCACCGCTCTATAGCTACCGATGATGGATTGGCGGGAGACCGTCTAGACGGAAAGAGCACGATACAGAACCTTTCTACTGGTTTCTAGAAGCATCGAACAAACTCCCCCAGTTCTCGCTAGCAAACAAGCTTGCTACAGAGGCATTTTCGCGGGAGCGGGTGCGTTTCCCCTTCTCTTGCTGGCCAAGGCCACCTTGGCCATGTCTGTTGCCTCGTCGATCTCGTTCTGCAGCACCATGCCCAGGTACTTGTCGAAGCCCTGCTTGCACTTCCCCAAGTACATCCTCAAGTCCTTCTCATCGGTGTCTGCCTCGCTCCCGTCCTCGCCCCCGGACTCCCTCTCTCTGATTAGATAAGCGATCTCCGCAGTGAGAGCCTCGACGTTGTCGATCACGTCGTTTCGGAGGAGATACTGCAGCGTTTGTCGGCTGGAAGGCGTCGCCCCGCCCTGGAGGTACTTGTTTTCCCGGTCCGAATCTGGCAAGTAGTAGATGTTGTCGCTGTACGCGTTGAACACGCGCTTGATGTCTTTCTTCTGGAAGTCTTGAGCTTGCAGGATGGTCAACGCGGCTCCGAACCGCCGTGGGTCTTTGAGATTGTTCTCGACCTCGTCCAGTTGCAGTCGAAGCCTTTGCCGTTTGAGGCGCGCGGGGAACGAGACAAGCACACGCGACAATGAGACTTTAAATTATATTTAGTCTTCAGGATGGTTGGGTGAGAGGGCGACCGGCATCGCAGCAACAGCGTCAGCCTGACAAAAACACCGTATAAGTGGACATTGACACTCTCCCGGCTGTGTAGACCAAGTGTGTGCTAAAACACCGCATACGTTGTATCCTCTACCACTGCCCCATGCGAAAACGTCCTTTCGGCCAGAAACAGTGATTGTTTCGAGGCTCAAGCCTGCTGTGCGAGGAAGCGCGGCTGGATTGGTTATTGCTTTAGCTCAAGACATGGAGCATCACTGGCAACGACAGCAATGAACCCATACCAACCTTAAACAACATCCGAAAAAAAACAAAACGTGTGTGTTTGAACCACGAATCTAGACACACATGGCGCCGTCCTGAAGTCCTCTCGGGGAATGATAGCAAAACGCATTTAGTCGTCTCTGCAGAAAACAAAAGCCTCTTACATTTCTACAAAACCTCCTGTTCCGTAGTCTTCAGGTAGTGATGCCTATTTCGTGTTTCAAGCTACATCAAGTGTTTTGGGGGGGAGAAACCGGGCAACTGCAGATATGATATTGCATATAACGCAGCACGACGCCTCCACCTGTCCAAAATCTACGGCCCAAGTCGACACATACCGCTGTCGTAGCCTCAATTGGTCGCTTACAAACTGCTGAGAACGAACAGTTCAACGATTTCTCAGGGACATGTTGGAGATGCAGGAAAGGTGTACAAAGCTCACGTGATGATAGGTACCAGAGCAAGAACAGGCTGGATGGTCTTGCCTCCCTCTGGTGAAGCAAGAGCCTCTACGTTGTCGAACTCCTCCTGTGCTCGGATGCGTAGTTGCTCTTGTACCTGGCGGATGAATATTGATCACAAGTAACGGGCACCGTGTAACGATCTGCAGGGGAAACCGATCGGTTCCCGTGAAGTGGTGGGATGGTGCTCCCATCGAAATCGCATGGGAATGGGATGGGGATGGGATGGAAAAGTACTCTTCTGGTCAAACATTCCAAGTAGCATTTCATGTTGTCGCCATCACCCAGCTCATTGATACGACCTCGAAACATGCCACCCTAAATAGGCACTTCAAATCCATCGTCGAAAGACGAGGCAACAAGAGACCAATCATGATGGCCAGCTTGCGTTATGGCAGCGCGGGAGGTTCCAACAGCAGGCGCGTTTCGATAGTTTTCATAACCGAAGATGCCTGTGCAGGCACGAAAGGTTGCACTTCCTCCCAAGATGACCGCGGTCTGGCTCACCGTTGCCGATTGGAATGTGCTGTAATCTACTGCTGTGTGTACTCCTCTACACTGTATTCCAAGTATGCACCGAAACAAAGTTGACCCACAGCAGTTCGTGTTCTGCTGGCAAGATGTTGCATGAACCACTTCTCAGCGCTTACTTATCAAGCTACGTGGCTTGTGCCTAGGTGCGTAATACTCGTTCTTGGATCCATGCCTTGGGAGCAGCCACCGCATGTACGGCACTGGCCAAGTTCGGGCTTATACAAGTACTGCTGTTGAGATCCCAACCTCTACCTTGCGGACAGGGTCAAGCCCAAGACCAGGCGTTGGGGCCACGGCCAATGAGAAGAGAGATGCCATGCCAAGTCCGATTGCCCGGCTCCTGCTCGTTGGCCCACCCTCCGCTGGCAAAGACATACTCGGTATCGACGACGTCTTTCGTCCTTCTGGGCGTTGCTTCCAGGACCTGCTCCGCCTGGCGTACGTGCGCCCTCCAGCTGAGGAGGAGCTTGCTCGGAACAGAGAGGGCGTGCTGAACCCAATGACTCCGGAACCGAAAGGGGCGGACACGAGCAAGCTAGAAAGCAGCATTGCCGACCATGGCTGGTATAATGGCGGCATCTCTCTTGTTGTTGGTGGGTAGTGTGGAAGAGATGGTCGTGTGTGCAACAAACCGGCACATACACGAACATGAGTCATTTTTTCATTTTTTCGGAGATGTTGGTGTACGACGTAGTAAGAGCGGCGCATCTTAGCTGCCGTGTTGTTTCGGGTCACTGCGTGCCGGAGAGTAGAAGTCATGCGGAAAGGGAGAAAGAGAGAGGGCGAGTGCAGTTGCATGGACGATAGTATCTCTTGTTGCACTCGAAGACTTAGCTCCAGCCGAGAAAACTAGGGGCATGACAGCGCACTGCGTTGACTTTTCTTTTTCGTAGATCCTCACGGGACTGTAGCCTTCAGCACACCTCGGCGAGCGCGGTTTAGAACGGCGGGATTTGCACGTGTGCTGGTGGTCCCTCTGCTATTAGGATATGCCATGGATGTTGAGGTGATAAGCGTCGACGGCCAAAGCGATGAGAGCAACCTGGAGGAAGGAGAACTCGGCGATGAGGAGATTTTCAGCCAGGAGCAACCTGCCCAAGGCGAGCAGGACGCGGAGATTCCGCCGCAGCAGCAGGAGCAGCAGCACGACCTCGCGACCGACACGATAGACCTTACAGCAGCAGGCTGCGAGGCCGCCATCTCTCGCTTCGAGCAGGAGTATGATGATCTGCACAGAAGTGCCCAGGGATTCGGTTTTCCGTTTGAGGCCGTGGCCGAGTTGCTGCTCAGGCATCCGGAGCACTGGTGGTGCAGGTGAGAAATGATCGTCCCTGTACTTACATACAGTAACTAGAGAAACATGTAGTGTTGGTTGCACACTGCTGTAGCTTGCAAACTTTCATATGCATACTCGAATACTCGTCCTCTCTCTCTCTCTCTCTCTCTCTCTCTCTCTCTCTCTCTCTCTGAAGGGGTACAGTAGTGAAAAGAAGCAGGTGTGCCCGGCTTGGTTGGAGACTTGTGGTCCTATCAAAGACTCGCTGGAATGGCCTGGTTGGGGGGGAACAAAATAAATGGCACACATCTACACGGTCCATGGTGCACCGTGGTATCCCACGGCGTCCCACAAGTGTGCCATGGTTCACCCTTTCTCCATGGCGTCCCACGGTGGTCCATGGCGTCTCATGGCGTCGGGAAGTGTCTCATGACTTCTGACTCTGTGCTTAAACCCGTCGTCATGTCCCATTGCGTCCCACACGGTGTGCCATGGTGCACCGTGGTGTCCCACAGCGTCCCATCCCATGGCATCCCATGGTGTCCCATGGCGGCCCATGGTGTCCCATGGCGGCCCACGGTGTGCCATGGTGCATGATGGTGTGCCATTGTTCACCGTGGTGTCCCATGGTGTGCCGTGGTGTCCAATCATGTGCCATGGCGTACCATGACATCCCCCTGTGTCCCATGGCGTGCCACGGTGTGCCGTGGTATCCAATGGCTCGCCATGGCGTCCCGCGGTGTGCCATTGGGCACCGTGGTGTCCCGTGGTGTTCTATGGTTCCACGGTGTCCCATGGCGGGTAACGGCACTGCTGTCCATGCACCAGGCAACTTTGTCCAAGTGTAAATGGTACTGAACGTTAGCATGCACGCGGCAGTGCCCGCTCTCATACATTTGTAGGTGTCGCCCCGCATACAGCAGTACACCGGACATGTTAGCGAGGGACACGGATATTCAATCGTCGTTTTGACTGACTTCGAGAAATGCGGAAGAGCATCCTGCAATCACGCACAAGGTAGCACACGTCGCTACAATATACTTCGAAGTCATGCATTATATTGATAATTTGATAACTTGCTTCATCTAACGAAGGGCTCCTCACCAGAAGGTCGTTTTCGGTTTTTCGGACACACGCTCGTCTTGAATTCACCGGCAAAATAATCGAAATCCCGCCGTTGTTCGTGCTCCCTTACGACGTGGTGTGTGCACTATAATACTAAGCATTAGGCAAACTGCAATCAATACACACTTCCTCTCCTGGCAGGTATCCAGATGCCATGGCTGAAATGCTGCTATCGTTGGATGGTGGGTGCGAAAGCGAAGGGCTGCCGTACGCGCCGGTGACTTCAGACACCAGCACAACCAGGTACAGCAGGGATGCACGCGGGTGGTTGGAGAGATCTTCGCTTCACGCGTCATAGCTTCTTGGGGATGAGGAGACAAATCCCCTTGCATGGATGAGCTTCTTTGGTCTACAGGATCTGAAGCCCCGTCACAGCGAACGTGTCCATAGGAGATCTATCTAACCTCTTCCTGTCCCCACACCTCCGCCCTTTGTCCAGCTCGGACAGCCTCACCGGGGTAGGTATTGTTTGGCAGACGGTGAGCCTCCAACTCTCCACGTGCAAGCGCTGCCTCCGCCGTTACCACGCCGCCAAGGAAACTGTACTGGCGAGGCTGCTCTCGGAGGAAGAACGGTACGCGTACATCGGCGATTGTTATTTTAGTTTTGTAAGAAACGCCGTGTGTGAGCGCTGATTTAATTCAAATAATGGGAAAAACTGTAGTCGCCGTAGGCATGATCGCCACACCTCGCGTGCACATCTGCACGGCCAAGTTGCGGCGCCTACGAAGGAATCACGTGAGTGTTGGTGAAATGTGATGGAGAAATGGTTGGGTTCTTCTGTGGGAATGGTCTACTTTTGCACTCGGTTTGTGTGGCGTGCTACTGTAAGTCCTCGTGTTGGTGTCGCACAACAGAGCACACGCCTGGAACGCTCCCAGTCAACGAACCAATGCTGGGGTTCCTAGGAAAAAACAGCGGCTTATAATGACACTCAGTACATATGAGGGAAACAGCCTGGCATCCCGGCCCCCCACGATACCCGACAGCAATAGTAACTTGTTCTTATCTCCGTCCGGCTGCCCAGGCCCGCCGAGACCCAGAGGCTTGAAGCGGCGGTCCTCGAACATGACCGAGACCGGCTCCAACGCTCCTTCCGCTCTACCGGGAAAGCGCCAGCCGGAATACCGGCGCGATCGGACGGGGCGGGGTCCGGGACGGTAGCGACCGGACAAGGGTTAGCAGGAGTCGACGGCGAAGCCTGCAAAACCACGGGGGCTGCTGCCACTGCTTCTTCGTCGTTCCCTCTCGGGGTGGATGGCACCCTGGCGTTCTGGGAGGTGTTGTCCTACTCGCAGCTGCTGGAGGACGGTGGGATAGAAGGAGCCTTCTTGGCGGCCCTTTCGCAGGTACTGCTGTTGGGAGGTTGCTGGCAGTTGTTTTGTGCACGGAATAGCCCGGGAACCTCCTAAGCGGCAGTGTCGCTTCGGTAGCATGCGGTGGCGCAGAGGTGGAGGCGAGGGGGAACCCTTGAGACAACGACGGGAAGAGAAACCTCATTCTTCTCGAGACGAAAACGGGCTTGACTGCTCCTTCTCGTCCATTTGGGCTCTTGTGGGGGTTGACAACGGCCACGCAGAAGGACGCCTTGAATATTTGGGATAAAGTCTCCACCAAAATCATCCCTGTGTGTTTATGCTTTGATGAAAACCTCAACCGTTCTTCGCGAACTTGGGTTTGTTTGATTTATCGTCATTGATAGGCAGTCTCTACTCGATATTGCACCACTCTCCGGTGTTGTATTGCTGACGTTTCACCGTCCCATTCCCTTGGACCATCGTCTCCCCCGCCGTTTGTGTTTCGCCGCGGACTGAACGCTCGCCGTTTCCTCGCCGCCCGCCCCCATTCGAGAGCTCAGGTTACCAGCTCCGGCGAGGGGGTCTTCTCAGGGGAAGAATGGAATCAGCACTGGCCTGGCGTGCTGACCCTACTGGTGCACAGGGAGGCGTCGACGAGAGCCTGGGCGCAGTCGATGGCGAGGAGGGCCGGAGGAATCCGCGCGAAGGAGTACGTGGAGGTGCTGAGGTAAGCGCGTGGCATCAGTGCTCACTATGGGGCAACGCGGAGTCTTTTTTTTTTTGGGGGGGGGGGGTACTCGTGTTTTGCATGTCTTCGTTGGCAGAGCGTTGACCGCGCGCCGTCGAGAGGGCGGAGCATTGTTATAACAGGACCGATCACGCATGACCAATCGTTCCTTCCTACTTACCCTACTTTTGCCAAAGATGGCTTTGTGGGGGGGAGGGGATAGGATCAAGTGATGTCGTCAGTCAAATGGCCTCGGACCCGTTGTATGTCGAAGCACCGTTCCTGCTCTTGCGATGTTGTAGTACAGATGCAGTGGGAGATAGTTGTTCACGAAAACCTCATGCTGCCAAACGGCTGGCCACGCATCACGGTACGGCCGGGTGGGTTGGGGGGTTATGCGCCAGTCCGGAGCCCCGTGCAACGTCGAGCAGTGTATTTTCTGTGTTTGCTGCCGCCTTGGAGAGAAGTACCGTGCCGTACCGTACCGTCGTACCGTACCGTGTGATTCCCGCGAGAAGGCGGTTCTTCTGCACGAGTGTGCGATACGGGGTACATCTCAAACCGCACGTATCCGACTGATATTCTTTCAGCCCGTCGTATTATATAGTTGCTGCGGGCCGTACACGTTTTCTCAGTGGGAATTTCACACAGCAAATTACTTTCGACTTGCACTTTTCTAGACTATCATTAACAGTAAAAAAACATTGAAATCGATCTGTTTTATCATGGTCCTCACCTCCCCCCCTCTCCTTTTGTCTGTCGCTCAACTATCGCCACCTCGACGGGTTTCCGCTCCCCCTGCCTACACGGGACGTTCAGCCCCGTCATCGACCGCTGGGTTCCCGTACTCGAACGAGGCCTGAGCAGCGGCGGCGCCCACCCGACGGCATCCGGGTCTGATCCGGACAGCGACGGGGAGCGGTTGCATTGGAGCGGACTGCACGTGGCGTTGCAGGTTTAAAACCTCGAACACCACTGTGTGCTTCACCGTATCGAAATGGGATCTGTATGATTGTGTCTCGAATCGTGGGACACAGCGTGATTCACACGCACTCTGTGGACGACTTCGCAAACGACTTCCACGGAATTACCATGGGCACAAAACCGTTACCACTTTTTTCTTCGGGGAACGTTTGAATCGGTCGACCGGAAACGCGTGAAGGCAGCAGTACAAGTCGACAGACGTAGTGTAACTTTCATGTTCCGAGGGCCTTGCTTGACCCTGCCCGTTTCCTCTCACGCCCTCTTATTGCCAGCACCTTTCTCAACGTACTCGTTGGCTCTTCCCATGTCCCTTGTCCCCCTGTGTGGTGTTCCTCAGCTCTTGGAGCCAAGTGCGGCGCCGCTCTTGGCGTATGGGTTTCCAACGTTGGTGGACCTGGCTCTGCAGAAGTTCGACGACGGTCCCGGACCCCGGGGTGTTTCCCTGTACCTGCAGGTTCGAAGCACACATATTTAGTACGTAATCGTGTGCGTGTTTCTTTCAGTTGCATCGACCGCGCTAACCGGCAAATGAACGAGACTCAGTCTGTTCTAGTCTGCGCCCCTCCCCGACTGGCGGGCCGCGGTGGAGACGTGTGTGTTTCTCTACTACGTAGCAAGACTGGGCTAGAGGTTGGCCAATGAAAATACGTCAGTGCCAGCGGGTAAAACTGGAAAAAAGCACAATACTCTGAATGCTAATTCCAAAACACAAATCTCTGTACAGTCTATGCGTGTCCTCCTCGGTGGCAGATGTATCGGCCCGCGTCTGTTTGCGTAATTTGTTATCAGCAGCTGGGGGGATGGCGGACACTGTCGTCATGCATGGCTTTCGTTTCGCGTGAGGTTCTGTGTTGGGTGCTGCTGCGTATCGACGACGGCCATTCCGCACAGCCAGCGCGAACCAACTTCGACATGTGTGGGATTCATTTTTTTTTGTCGGGACTCTTAACTTGGTCTTGCGAGAGAGACAGAGAGAGGAGGAGAGAGAGAGAGACGGAGAGACAGAGACAGAGAGAGGAGAGAGAGAGAGAGGAGAGAGAGAGAGAGAGACAGACAGACAGACAGACAGAGACAGAGACAGAGACAGAGACAGAGACAGAGACAGAGAAGGAAAGAGAGGTGGGGGTTGTCTAGGTTGTTCCTCCTTGGAAGCTGTTACCGATGGTGTTGGCGGCGTTACCGGTCGCGTTGTCCTTTGGCCGGCGGCAGGAACGATTGAACCGCGGTTACTTCGGACAGTCTTCCGTTCGGTCTCCCGATGGGCGCTATGCTGACCGACCACCGGCTACCGTTTCGTCCCTGCCGACGAAAGAGAGCTTCCCCTTGCCAGATTTATGTGCACCTTTTCCGCCAATCGTCACGGCGTGGTTTGTTCTTGTGGGCCAACCCTGCGTTCCCGAAAAACGCGCGCGTTTTCTGTCTGTCAGGTGTGCGGCTGCCTCTCCGCTCTTCTGCGCCTCCTGGGCGCCGAGATGTGGGAGTACAGCTCTCGGCAGCCGTCAGAGGTGCTCGAAGCCCTCGAGCGTCAGACTAGCTACGGGGACGGCGCGGACACCGCCGATTTCAGGGGAACGGGGAGAAGAATGCTGCCCAACGAGGCTATCCAGAAGAAGGTTTTCGAGATGCTGCCTTTGCTGGTGTCCTCCGCGGCTGCTGTCGATAGGCCATCCGGTGCTACAGGCTGGGGCACCGCGGTGTACGGAAACCAGGGGATTGGGGGGGGAACAGATCACCCCGGAGTGGCAGCGAGACATATCGATGATGCAGCAGCGGCAGCGGGCGTGTTGCCCGTGGCCGACGCGGTCCTAAGCTTCCTGTCGCGTGAAATCGCTTCGCTCTCGGCGGTGGCACCAGAGAACAATCGCGGCGCACACGGTAGGCGGCAAATGGCGCTCGCGAAAGCCCTGCTCGGTGTCCTCGAGACGTGCTACAACGGCTCTGCAGGTGGCGGCGAGAGCGATGATGATTCCGACCTGCTTGAACCCGAGAGCTGGCCCTGGAACGCTGCCGCGGCGAGCGCTGCTGCTGCTGCTGCTGCTACGAGCGGCGCTTGGTGCTACCCATCGTGGCCTGTTCGCAGCGTGCCGTCGTGGGGCCCACGGCTCGCAGACATCGCGGGCGACCGCAGCGGAAGGGCCTCCGGCGAGAGCACCGCCGTGGCGGTGGTTGATCGAGCGGCGAGAGTCGTGCAGCTCGTGCTCCGGGAGCACGGGGGGGCGGCGTGGAGAGCGGCGCTTTCCGCCTTGCGGCTGCCGCCGTCGGCATCATCCTCCGGTAGTGGCTCTGCGTCCCAGAGCAGCGGCAGGATGGAGGACGAGGAGTGCGTGGTACCGCTCTGTGGCCCGCTCCTGGAGCGGATTTGTCTGGAGCTGCCTTTGATGGACCTACCCGTCCGCGTGCACGCCGCGGTGTTTGAGGCGCACGGGTGGCTGTCGCTCCTACCGTGCGGTATGACGGAACGCGACTTTTGCCCGAACACAGTTGTTTGGGCCTAGGGCAATTTGTGGAGGAATATCTCCCCATTTGTCGCGTTCGTTGGAACCGGGACGTTTGGGTTTGGTTCACGTAGGAGTCAAGAAGCTGAGTTTTTCTCTACAAAAAAATCGGGCTGCTCGAGTCTTCTGCTCGTCTAAAACGCAACGGCATCCGCGTGTGTTTTCGGCAGAGCGTTGAGAAGCTTTCGGCCCGACGCGTCGACTATTCCACGTCTCCTCGACTTCTCTTATGTCGTAGTGCTCTGCCCCTTTGTCGTCGTTCTCCGCATTGTCTGACGGGTGTCTTGTCTGTTTGTTCTCTCGTGTTTCCTTCTCTCGTCCTTTTTTTTCCTTCTTGTCTTCTTCTTCTTCTTCTTCTTCTTCTTCTTCTTCTTCTTCTTCTTCTTCTTCGAACGTTGTGTTCCGAAAGGACACTCCGCCATCCGGGCCGCGGAGGGAAGAGGCGGGCCCGCCGCCTCGCGCGTGCTGGCGGCGCTACACTCCGGAATGATGTCGCAGTTCGTGAGGCTGTTCGTGCCGTACGTCCAAGGCCTGACAGAGATCGTGAAAAACCGTGGGGTACGTATTTGTGTTCGTTTTGCTTTGTTGTCGTTTCGTGTGGGTGTGTTGGTTGTACTGTCGGGGTTGGACTTCGGCTGCATTGCAGGTACTAGCATGGGTTGTACGTGTGCTATCTTGGTGTGGTTTTCGCCCGCGCGATGTTGTGTGGATAGGGTAAACCCCTGTCTAGGTTATATCTCCTCAGCCGTGAGGCCGCTGTGCTTGTTTGATCAACTGATGTGCCACACAGGATCCCACGTTCGTTTGGGGCTCGCGGGGTTGCCCTTTTTCTCGTCGAGGAGATGGGTAGCAAGTTGAGTAGAGGGTCATGAGGATGTTTCCGGTATGTTTCGCCGTGTGTGACTTTGGCCGCTTTGTCTGTGTAATCAATACCACAACAGTATGCCTCAAATCTTGCGGTAGGGAAACTTCTTTCATTGCGTTCGCACATTTTCGGGCATACACTGCCTTACGTGGTGCGCCTGTGATGTTACCATCCCCCCTTCCCTATGGCTTACCGTACCTGCCGTGCAGGCATCGGTGTCACCAGCTCTTCTGCCGCAGGTAGCTCCTTCTATTCTTCAGGCAAGCTACATATGCACCACAACAACTGTGTGTTCGGAGTGTTTTCGTGACAACACGATATTCGCGGTGACCAGGCTGCTCAAATGTTGATCGTCTTTTGTTCTCTCTGGGTGCCTGCAGACGCTGCCCAGTTCTAGCTGTTGTTTCACTCTTGAGGCTTGCTCACACATGCAGCAACTGCGGTGCTGCTCCACGTTGAAACTAATTTACGGCGCCCTGGCAACGCCGCTAAATTCCGTGCATGACCTGTTAATGTCATTCCTCCGAATGAAGAAGGCCAAGAACACGCATGCTTGTATGCACACGCACCTCGAACTGGCGTCACTGTTGTGCTCCCTTGACCGTGTATGCTCGCTGTCCGCCGACTCCTCCCTGCGACTCCCGCCGCCCCGCCCTTGAGCAGGCGCTCCTCGCCGCCGTACCGACGGCACGTGCGGCCCTCGAGGAGCTTGTGTCTCGCTCCGTTTTCTCCGACGGCGGGAGGCGGGGGGACCTGCGGCCGTTGCTCGGCCGATTCCCTCCGGACTGCGCTCGGGCCTGCTTCCAGGCCGTCCCGCAGGTCTGCAAAAACAGTTGGCGTTCGCCTGTGCCGTGCCTCTGAGGGCCGAGTGTTGCTGTATCCTGTGTGTGTATGTGTGTCTTCGTTATTGGCGTTGACCGTGCAATCGGCTGACCAATGAAAAGACGCCAGTCTCAGTGCGGTTACAAACAGAAAATGCTTCTCAGGACCATGACCTGGGACCCCGTGAGGCGCGTGTGTGTGTTTGCAAACTTGTTTTTCTCACCGCTGTGCTGGACCCGGAAATTTCTTTGATTCAGAACAGTGCTAAGCAAGTTGCAGTGGGCTACCAGCGGAGGTTTTGCTTAGGCAGCAAGGGAAAAGGTTTAAGCAGACGCGTGTGCAACAAAAAACATGCGTGGCACTCGAAAGTCTTGCGTCGTCGGTAAGGCGCTGCGCGTTACGAGGCCGACGCGGGAGGTAGCGATCAATTCGGGTGGAATTGTTCGTTCTGACGTTACCCCGCGCGCACCACCCCGTTCTTGGCGCCTTTTTGGGGTCTTGTTGTCCTCGGAATGTTTTGTGTACTGATGGTTTGCAAACCTGCTAGCCGAATGTTTCTCGACGCTTTCCACCGTGCAAGTCGCCGTTGTGCGATTCGCTGAACTCCTCAAGTCCTTGTAACGCGTTTTGGTACGCTCGCCTGGTTTGGTGCAGCCTGTCGCGCGCCGTTTCCGGGCTGCAAGGTCTAGCGACCACGGCAAGCACGATAATGATGACGGCGCTCCTCTTCCATTCACCACATGCAATGTACTCACCCGAGAATCGCAAAACTTGGCTCTTATCACACCTGCGCCCAGGCCCTAGGAGCGATGGCCGCTGCGGGTCCTCACCTCTCCCTCAAGTCATGGAGCCCCCTGTTTCAGGCCGTGGGCGTACTTGGATGCGCGGTGCTATTGCCCAAGGCCTCAGCGGCAGACGGGGATGAGGAAGAGGAGGAGCGGCAGGGCGAGGGAGAGGGGGAAGAAGACGAACTGTGGGAAGTTTTGGAGGCGGTATGGGAGTTCATTTTCCTGCAGGTGGGGTAGTACGTCGATGCTCTGCCCTGTTGACTGTTGATTCTGCTTGGTGGCTTGCCGGGCGAGTTCCAATTGTCTTGCGGGACTGCTGTAGCGGCCTCGACCATCTCCGCTGCTGTTCACGCTTGGCCGGTCCCCCCTAACCCGTGCAGAGGAAGGTGCAGGCCATCTTCACGGGACAACAGTGCCGACCGCAACCCACAAACCACCGTTTGTAGTGCTCACACTGCAGAGGAGGACGTTTACGGTCGTGTCCGGAGGGTGATGAGGTAGTTGGTCGGCAAGGTGCCTCGTTCGGAGCTTACGAGAGAGGGGTCACAAGATGACCGCAAACCAACGGAAACCAAGAGCAGATCGTTGCTACCATATTAAATCATCAACCAACTGGACAGCTTGATCGAAGCCTGAGCACAGGTTCCTCAGTACCATCCCGCAGATTGCTGTCGCAGATTCCCTCTACCCCGTAAGAGAAGCGGTACCACAGCAGCGTAGGTACCTCCAACCCGGTTTCGAGGTTAAGGTGTTGGTAGGTTGACGAGAAGCGTCGCGCCTTGTGGACCTGGGAATTCTGAAGGGTTCTAAGGGTTGCGGGTACGATTGTGACAGGTGATCCCCGAGGCTCTGCCCGCGCTCAGAGAGCAACATGCGACGAGGCTTGAAGAAGCGTTCCGGGCGCTGTTTGGATCGCTTGAAAGGTAGGCTATGTGACGCGTTAGTGCTACCGTTTCTTGGGGGTCGGTGCGTTGGAGTTTGCACGAACAACCATGTGTGCTCGAGCCCACCTATCGATGGTGGAGTGCCGGCAGCCGCCCCCCGCCGGCTGACGCTACTCCTCATAGGCAAAAGTGGTAGCCTTGTTACCAGGCTGATGTCTCCACGAAACACGGGGCGGTCACCTTCATGTTTCCCGTCAGGGTTCCATACCACTTGTATCGAGCCCTCCGCGCAACCTGCTTGTCCTCGCAAGGGCTTCAACCGATGGGTTTTGTATGTCTTCCACGAAGTCACTCATGCCAACCTGCTTCCCCCTGCTCCATGCATCCCACCGCCGCTATGTGCTTGTAGCCTGTGGCCCCTCTTGACCGGCCCGGCGGCTCAGCGTCGGCGCCCCCGCCTGACGGACGGTTTCTATCGCTCCCGCTCTCTGTGGCTGCAACCCTTGCTCTCGTGGGTCTCGGCGGCCTGGCTGCCCCGGGTCGCCCGAGAGGCGGCGGCAATCTTTGTCCAGCGCTCTCTCCTTCCGTTCCTTCACGCCTCGTCGTGCGGTTCAGCCGCAGGCGGCGGCGACGAGAGGGGGGCCCGCGGAGACGACGACCCAAGCGTCGGGGTAAGCCCGCGAAAGACGGTTAGGCTTGTGGGAGACAAGTTGCGCGCTGTGGAGGGCGAGGGAAGGTCCGCGTGGGCGCTGTCATCGGAGGAGCCAGAGGCTGATCTGTTGGCGGCGCTCAAATCGGCCGCCGTTGCGGCTACTGCCAAGGGTACCGCCGTCGACCCCTGCAGTCCGCCGGCAGCAACGGGAGGGGCGGCAGGATCGAGGGTTGACCCGCATTCCCCAGCAGCACCAAGGAATCCTTTCGCGCTCTCCGCCGCACGCCGAGGAAACGGGGGGTCTTCTGCTGCCAGCGGCTGGTCGCGGACACCGTGGGAGGATAGACTCGGCGTCGGTAACTCAGCCACCCCGTCGTCGGAATCCGCGGGGCGGCCATTGTCGGAGTCAGCGTTAGCTCAGATCACTTACAGCTCTCCCGCAGCAGCGCCAGAACGGACCGCGAGAACACCCGGGTTAAGACGCGGCAGTCACTACCCGAAGGCTGGCGGGAACGATTCATCCCAAGCCCGGCAAGGCGGCGGCTCTACCGCAGGCGGCGGAGGCGGCGGCGGCGGCGGCTTCCGCGACTCTCGTGGTCGGAGCACTGCAGCGTCCACCGAAGGGGGGAGCCTCGGCGTTAGACCGGAGAAGACGGCTTCGCGGGCTGTCTCCAACTCGACGGCCAACGACGACGACGAGGTCGGCAGTAGCAGCGGCGCTCGCGGTAGAAAGACGTACGTCACTGCTGCCGAAGCCGCCGCGGCAAGAGCTTCGGAGGCGAAAGCAAACACCGCAAAGGTGGCGGCGGCCGCGGCGGTGGCGGCGGCGGCGCGTCCGCGAGGCTCGGTAGTAGAACGGTGGCGCGAGATGCAGCGCAGGCAGATGGGGGAGACAACGGAAGTAGTAGCGTCCGCGCCAGCCGCATCTCAGAGCCGTTCGCTCCAGCAGCAGCAAGAGCAGGCGAGATCACCAAGAAATGCGGCAGCACAGACCACCTCCAAAGAGGCCAGGGCTGCCTTCGCTACAGCAGCGCAAGCAGCAGCGCGCCGCGGCGACTCTCCCGACGGCGGGAACGGATCGTTGGCCACGACCGTGGCGGGGGCGGCCACGCTCGACTACGCGTCGCTGGCCGAGGCTAGCGCGACGGAGCTCCACAAGCTTGTCCTATCGTCGTGGACCGTCCCGGAGCTTTTCGCCGCGTCGACGAAGTCGGCTCGGTCAGGGGGGAGGTTTCAGGGCCCCAAGAGGGGGCACGAAGTTGGGCGCTCGTCGTCGAGCAGCCTGTGGCTGTCGAAGGTTCGTTGGGCGTAGCCGCACTGCTGCTGTCTCAGGACTACCATATGGTTTGCGTTGGCGGGCAGATATGTCTGTTAGCCAAATAACTCGACTTGGTGCACATGGCAGTGCTACCGGCCAAAAAGGTTGCTAAACCGACGTCGGCTCTGCCTTATAGTTGTTGTTGCCGATGCCGGCCGATTGGGAACCCGCTGGGGGGGAGGGGACTCGCGCTCCTATTTTAGATTTCCTTTTCGGTTGATTCGTATCCCATGAGTTCAATTTCGGCCGCACCACACCGACCATGCCGTCCGTGATTGCGACGACTCCCGCGACCAAATTATCAACCCGCGGCAGTGCTGGTTTCCCAAATGTCAGGTTCCGACCCGCTTTCAGAGCGTGGAGCAGTACCTCGAGGTCTTTCGGGGCCTGCTGCTCGACGAGATTTTCGCCACTTTGGTTGCCGCCCTCGACGGTGGTGGCAGCGGTGGTCGTGGTGGGGGGCGGGGCGGCCCCCCGGAGGCAATGACGCTGCGCGTAGCATCCTTGGTTGAGGGCGGCAAGGGGGGGTTCGGCCACATTACCATGGTCGCGGACGACGGCGGGGGTAGTTCACATCGGTGAGTTTGGTTGGCGTACGGCGCAACCAAGTAGCGACACGATGAGAAAAATACGTAGTTTGTGGTGGCACAGTTCCGTGAGAGTAGCTGTACGATGATTCAGAAAGTAGGTTGTGATCGCCAAGTTTCGGAGTCTGGGTGGTTTAATGGGCGGATGGGATACCACCGTTAGTGCGTCCACCACCACCACCAACAACAACCACAACCACAACAGTAACAGCATGCTAAACAACATTGCGCCGCGTCGCATCTCAATTGCGCTACAGGTTCGCTCATGATGACGTCCTCCTGCTGTCCCTCGCGAAACCGTCGGACGGGGCGGTCGGCGGCGGTCACGTGAGTGGAGACGGCGGCTCAGCAGCAACCACGACGGCTTGCCTCGGACTCTTCGAAAAGGAGCCCCGCGGAGCAGCCCGCGGGCCGGCCGGGATGCCGGGGAGCGGGAGGTCGTCGGTTCGGGTGGGTACCCTGTTGCTTGACACGGCAGCGGTGTACACGCGTTAGTCGAGGCTGCTAGTGTATCTCCCGAGGCCTCGAGATTTTCCTTGTGAATGTCCCGAATAAGCGCCTACAAGGCGTGTTTCTGTCCGTTTGTCTGCGTTCCTCACAGGCACAGTCGGAGCCCCTCTACAGTTCGGGTTATATGGTGCGAGTGCCCGGTGTAGTGCGGGTGACAGCGCTTGGCACGTACCCGCTCTATGGAGGGTCCCTGACTGTACTTTGTTTCGTCTCTCCGAGTTCTCAAGGTTTTGGTGATAAATATCCCAAAATCAGCTCCGAACCCAATATCTGTTACTGGCTGGCTATCCATCCGTCAGTCTTGCTGTCTGGCGATGCTGCGAATGATTGCCTTGTCTAAGACGCCCACCCTCCTATCACGTCGCGTGGCCTCTGTCTCAACACGTGTCCCAGGCGAAAGTGCTGTTCCGATCTACCGCGCCCGGAGACCGTGGTCGCAATCGGAGCACGATCGAAAGAGGCGCAGGGGCCATTATCCCGAAGAAAGCCACGGCTGAGAGTCGGGGACAAGGGCAAGGTGCGTGTAAGGGGAGGAGGGGAGGGCAAGGGGGGTGTAGTCATGGCCGTGCATACCGTAGTCGTTAGACCATTGATCTCGCATCCCTACAAAGCCGGGACGGAGCACGCCGGGTTTTCACTGAACCAGGCGAGCACATCACCAAGCGCGAAGCGCCGTGAGGTTTTAGGCGAGTCGCATAGAGGGCGGGGGGGGAGGGGGGAGGGAGTACTCACATGCATGCTTACCCCGTCGCCTTCAGATAGAGCACCGTCGCATCTCTACGAAATCTCAGCACGAAGCGCGTTGGGTTTCCACTGATCAAGATGTTGGAGGCCGGGGGAGGGGATTCCAACAACCACAACCCCTGTGACCGCTGCTGCAGGGGACTGTAGGGGACTGGCGCGCAAGCTGTGTTGGGTTTGACTCAGCCAGCAGTACTATCATGGTGTACTCCGGGTTGTGACCTATTCGCTGGTTACCGACCAACCCGTCCACTCACTTGCCCTTTCTCTGCCGTAGCGTACCTTGCATTTGGTGTTTTCTGTGCACCCTGCAGCGTGGAACACTCAAGCTACCATATGTCTATGGGACATACACGCCTCCTCCCTCCCTCTCCCAACTGCCTTAATCAGTTATAACGAAATCGATCGTTATTAGTGTGGTAACTAGAACAAACCAACACTTCAGATTCTTCTGTGACTTGTATGGACTGGAGTCACCGTCTGTTGCAAAATCCGTACATGGCCGTTCCAACCCGAACGACTGTGCCAACCCACACGATGCGATCCTCAGGGGAAGAAGAAGCCGCGAGCGCTGTACTGCGGGCGTTCCGAGAGCTGGGCTCACAGGTTTGTGCTGTTCTCGTTGGGCATCTCTCAAGCGTGTTCGCCAAATCTCGTGTTGGTCCGACCGCCAGCTTGGAACGAGGCGTGTTCAACATGTTGTGACAGTGGTCGAAAATACTCCCGACACGATAAGAAGCACGCCGTCCGTTGCTTCTGAACTCGAAAGACCGACAAAAATGCCATAGGCCTCGCCAGCTTCAAGAGCCTATACGAGCAAAGCGCATCCCAACTGACTCTATCCTTCGCGCGATGGAATATCTCCTCCTCCGCCCATGGCATCTAGAATTTTTTTCTCTCAGGGAAACAGATGGGTCATTCTCTAACCAAGTCGAGACATCTCGACCATGGCTGACGTCTCTCACCGTCCAAGCAATGTCGGAGCCCCTTATCTCCTACTCTTGTACCATGTTTTGCCCTTTGTGCCTGGTGACGGGTATCACACGTGTGCGCCCAACCTATTTTTTTTGCGTTGCACTCGTTCGTCTTCAAAGGTGCGCGTAACGCGGCTGGAGGGGCTGAGCACGTCGACCCGAGAGTTTGTGGCGCTGGAGGCATCGCCTCGTGCGGCCCTGTTGCACCACATCTTGCAGGTACTTTTTCACAACAAGACTGCTGTGCCGGAGGATGAACGACCCTGTTTTTTTTCTCCCTAGAAGGCTCAGTCCGCCATCCCCTGTAATTATGCCGGGGTAGAATTATCCTAGTTTGTTCTCCCTAGAAGGTTTAGTCCACATTAACCTTTGGACGTTGCGTGGAATGAGCACCACGCGTGTTGGTTGTTGATGGTGGCAGTGGTGGTTGTTCCCTGCTGAACCTATGGACGCTGCATGGAATGAGAACCATGCGTGTTGGTTGTTGATGATGGTATAATAGTGATGGTTCCGTGCTGAACCTTCGGACGCTGCATGGAATCAGAATCACGCTTGTTGATGGTGGCGCAGGCGACGTCGGAACCAAGTCTGCAGCCCCTGCAAGAAACCCCTCAAAGGGCGCCCGGAAACTCCACCACCAGCAACGACAACCTCTGGGCGACGAAATTGGCGCCTCCCTACCTGGTAGACGAAGCCTCGTTTGCGGATGCCTGCAAGCGACTATCGTCAGTGGAAGACTCTGCCCTTCTCGGGGAGTCCGGTGCCGGAGGCGGGAGTCCGGCTATCGCCGCGGGTTTGGCCGCTGACATAGCGGGGCCGGCGGAGTCGCTGATGCGATCGCTGGGGTGCCTTGCCAGCTTCAGGTGGGTGCGAGGAGCGTCCCTCGACCTTAGGTTGTGGGGCAAGCCCGCGCCGCGAGTTTGGTTTATTTAGAGCGCAGAATCAGGTGCACAGCATGATTGATAAACGAGTGGCAACTCTGCAACCGTGGCACAGGCGTGGTTCTTGACGAAGGGCCTCGTCGCCCGTTCTTCGCAGATGCGGTGGGTTTAGCATCGTCGTTTCATGAAACAGAACGTAATTCGCTTGTGTTCTAGCGGTAGTGTTGGTTGATTTTTACGCTTTTTACCATGTGGTTGGATGATTTCAGTCATGACGGTGGGTTGGGTTCGCCTTAACCCATGAAAAGAACGTGATTTTCTTGTTTTCTACGGGTACCGCCGGTTGTTTTTCACCATGTGGTTGGATCATTTCAACCCCAGTGCCCCTTGATGCCGAAACCTCGGTAGGGGTGGTGTCCTCCTTTCCGACGACCCCCCGACGATCGGTGACTCACTTTCAAAGTTTGACCCCCCGCCAACGTCAATGGTCCAACGACTACGCGCATGCACGGCTATGAGTACCCCCCACAACTCTCGAGACGCGTGGTCAGAAGTCTAACAGATAGGTCTGCAAAACATTAGTACCCCCCCCCACCCCCCCCACAGAATCTAAGGAAAGAAACCAAGGATAAGGAGGGTCTAGAAGTGTACGGAATGTTGAAAGAAGGAATAGGGTTCAAGGATTACCTACATGGACCAATGGATGCAGGGACAAATCTTAAGGTCAAATTCAGGACCGGGGACATAGGCCTTCGCGAACGTCGACGAAGACATAGGACGGTAGACGACGAAGACGACAAGTTCAAATGCGATTGCGGCTTCGAATGCGAAGACAGTGTTCATGTAGTCGCGGAATGTCCGTGGTACGAAAAGGAGAGGTAAGTGTACATGACCGAGCTGGGAAGAATACAAGGGACGTACAGGGAGATGTTTGAGGCATGGAATAGAGAGGAGAGGACGGTAGCGGTACTGGGGAGTAGAAAGTGGTTTGAAAAAGCGGGAAGTGACATCGGTAGGATAGACAGACTAGGAAAGACATTTTTGAGCCACCTTTGGCAAAGTAGGAAGGAACGATTGACCATCGGTGATCGGTCCTGTGGGAACAATGCTCCGTCCTCTCGAGGACGCGTGGTCAATGGTCTAACCGCTAAGGCATGCAAAGCATAAGAGTACGCCCCCCCCGGTGTTTACCATCGGGGTTGGGTTTTCGTCGCTTGGCAACGACGTTGTAAAACAAGCCAATTCACTTCGTGAACTCGGCAACCAGGTTACCGGTTTTTTTTTTTACCTCGTTTTTTTTTTTGGGCGGTAACCATAATGGTGGTCGAGTAGATCATGTTGTGCGGGGTGGAGAACCCTCACTCCGCGCAAGGGGGATGATCGCACCACGTTGTGTTAAAATGGTCAAGCATCCTCGAAGCAGTTACACAGTGCTTACAACAGTCTCTGGAAGTGAAAGCACCAGAAAATAAATTAAGTCATACGTAGCTGTCATCCGTACGCAAGGAAGTAAGCACAAGATGCCGAACACCCTTAGCAGGATGCAGCTCACCCTTCATGCGACTCGCCAAATACCTCACGGCGCTTAGCGCTTGGTGATGTGAGAGCCTGGTCCGGTGAGAACCCGGCGTGCTACGTCCCGGCTTTGTAGGGATGCGAGGTCAATGGTCTAACGACTGCGGCATGCACGACTATGAGTACACCCCCCCCCCCCGTTGGGGAAAAGCGACTCCAGGGAAGAAGGGAATCAGATGGGACAAGGTGGTAGAGAAGGTTTGGAAGGAGATGGGAGACGAGGAGGAGACGTTGGACACAGATGCTAGAAAGTAGGGAGGAGGCAACCCTTCGGAAGAAGGTACGAAGCGAAGACCACTTGGAGATATACGGGAAGTTGAAAGAAGGGATAGGGATGAAGACGTACTTGGACGGCCCCATGGACTACGCGAAAAAGCTGAACTTACAATTTCGAGTAGGCGATCTGGACTTGCCAGAACGGAGGACGAGGTATACCAGCCGTAGGAGAGAGGAAGAGGAGGATAGACACACATGTCCATGTGGCAAATCGGAGGAGAGTAGACCCCACATAGTTGGGGAGTGTGAGTTGTACAGGAAGGAAAGAGAGGATCTCGAGGAGGAAATGAGACAGAGAGAGTGTGACATGGACAAGTTTGGTAAATTAGACAACAGGGAAAAAACGATCGCGATAATTGGGGATAGATGGTGGGCACAAGAGGCCCTAGAGGACGGGGATAAGATGTGCAAGAACTTTTTTATGTAGTTTGTGGCAGAAACGTAAAGAGCTCCCACAATGTTGGTGGTGTCTCTAGTAGACGTAGGAACGGTGCTCCGTCTCGAAAGGGACGCGTGGTCAATGGTCAAATGACTAAGGCAAGCAACAAATGAGTACGCCCCCCCCCCCCCCCCCCCACCCCACCCCGCCAACAGGGTTGCCCCGGAACTCCTTACCTCTCACGGCCGTGGTACCGCCAAGCGCCTCAAGCGCCTCTCCAAGTCGGAGGTGTGGGGCCCTGACGTCCGCAACGTTGCCGCTCGTCTTCTCCGGGCGTGGAGAGGGGTGGTTGACGTGGGCGGCGGCGCGACCGCTAATGCCAAGGCGGCGACAAAGAGATCCCAAGGCGAGGAGCGCGGTAGTGGTGGTGGTGACAGTGAAGGTGGAGCCAAGGCTAAAGTTGGGGCTGAACAAATGGTTGAACGCGTCCGGCCGGCGGCCTCGACAAAGCCGAGGCTAGTGGGAGAGAAAGAGCAGGAGGAGAAGAACGACGAGCAGCAGGGCATATCGGACTCGGGACACAAATCCCCAGCAACCATACCTGACGCTGGTTCATCCAGTTCCGACGTTTCTCCGAAGGACACCTGCCCTCCGGAGAAGCAACAGAAGAAGCGGCAGGAGACGCCCAAACGGCCCAGCCTGGTACCCGCAGCTCTTTGGGACCGTCTTTCGCAAGAGTTCAACGTTTCTCAGCTGAGGGCAATATGGGCGGCCGCGGCGAGCGCGCGCGAAGCCCAAGAGGATCTCGCGGCAGCCGCCAGAGATAACGATGGACGGGCGACTCCTGAAGCGGCGGTGCTGGCCGAGAGGCGCGCTCCGGTCAACCACGCGGCGGCGACGGCGAATCGAAGGGAAGGCGGAGCGCGGGGAGGAGGGTCCAAGGGGGGTGTGGTGCTGTTGCAGGGACCCCCGGGCACCGGTAAGACCCGCACCGTTCTCGGGGTCGTGAGCGCCATCCTTGCCCGCCGCGAGGAGAAAGATTGTGGTAGCGGTGGCGGGGGTGGCGGAGCGGGCGCTCGAGGCATGGGCACCACGCTGGCGCCTGGGGCGCGCCAGAAGCGACCCGGGGTGGCGGGTAGGTGGGTTGCGGCGAAGACGCACCAACGGGTGAGTGAGGAATCGCTGACGAGCGGCGGCGTTCCTGTTGCGTGCTCGGCGTTCTGGTTGTGGCAGGCTCTTGGCATGTGCGGTTTCCGTGCAGACCTCGACTTGCTTGTCGTGTGTAGGAACAGGGCAATTGAGGGCCCACTCAAACCTTGTTGTACATCCGACGTCAACTGTGTCGCTTCCGACCGCCCCCCCGCCGGGACTTCCCGGATGTTCCGCATAAGACCCATTCCTCTCTAAGCGCATTATGCTGTATTTATCGTTGTAGGCGTTTCTCCTGCTCCCACGGTTGCTGCTGTTGTTGTTATTGATGCGTGTGTTCGTTGTTGAAATGGGCACCGCTGCGCCCTGTTTCTTGACCCCCGACCCAACTCCGGACTGCGCAGATACTCGTGTGCGCCCCTAGCAACGGTGCTGTAGACGAGCTCGCCCAACGGTTGGCTCTGGAATCGGGCGGAGTTTGGGACCAGCGCGGGAATGCTGTTGCGCCGAGGGTGGTTCGCCTGGGAAAGCCCTCGGAAGACGCGGCGGATCGGGTCAAGGCCGTGTCTCTTGAGTTCATGGTAGAAGAGAGGTGACCGGCTGTTGTCGTTGTTGTTGTTGTTGTTGTAGTTATCGTTGTTGTAAGTTGGTGTTTGTTGTAATTGTAGTAGTTGTTGTTGTTGTTGTAGTTGTTGTTGTTGTTGTTGTTGTAATTGTTATTGTTGTTGTTGTTGTTGTTGTTTGTGTCGTCGTCGTTAGTGGTTGTGACTTCGACGACTCTGGGCACAAGCATGACAGAAGCGGGTGAGAGGCTCACGGTCGATCTAATATGCCAGAGGGGAAGAGAGAAGTCGTCATACGTCTCAGACGCAGTTCCCCCCCCTGTTGTCTCAAATATGATATGGACCTTGCTGGCCTGCTGCCTGCCTGTTTCGTTGCCCAACCCAAACCAGAAGATGACTCATTCGACCATCCGCGCGCGGAGTAAAGTTCCCCTCGATGGCGCTCCCTCATGCCATCCGCACCCCGCCGAACGTGTGCATGCACCCGCACGCTAACATCTGGTCTATTTGTCTCCACCGGCCTTGTGCTGAGCAGAGTGACGCGTGCAGCACACACACGCTAATATCTGATATGTTTGCGTGTCTGCACCTGCACCGTTCCTGGACCTGAGTAGAATGACGCGTGCGTAAGCACAACCCGCTAACATCTGGTCTTGTCGGTGTGTCCGCACCGTGTTCTTGCCCCGACCAGAGTGAAGCTCCACGCCAAGAGCGCCGAGGCGAGAACTGCCGAGACCAAGATCAGAGAAACGCACGCGCGTATCGACGAGGCCGGACGTGCCGTGAGGAGCGGTGGTGTCGGCGAGGTTGGCGGTGTGGCTGGAATCGGAAGCGCAGAGAATAGGTGACCGGCTTGACGAGTTATTTTTTTCGAAGCGAAAGGACGGGCACCTCGGCAACTAGCACCGATCTCTTTAGCCTAGAAAGAGGGAGAGAGCAAGGGAACATTGCGAGTGTCAGGTTTCATCTAAAACTAGACAAAGCGCCAACGCTTTTACGTGTGCTCAATCCATTTTTAGCATGAAGTACATTTCTTCTTCTTCGCCTTGAGCCTGTGGTCAGCTGCAAGCAGGGGCCGCACCAACCACCGCTCTTCATGCCCGTTGGCATCACAGCGATCGATCCTGTCCTTCCAATCGAACGGAACGCCGGCATCACTGCAGCGCTTTGTCTTCCTTGGCGATACGAGTGGATGATGAACGATGCGTGTGCGATGAAGTTAGTTTGTTGGTGTGTGTGTGCGCCCGCGCCTGTCACGCTTTGTATTGCGGACGGCCACGCTGCGGAAGCTACGGGATAAACTCCCCTAGACACCCGCAAGTGGACTACGGACCCTACGTACCTACCCTTCGGCCGGCGCAATATTAATATTGTGCCACCAGAGTGTCCATCTTCATAGATGTTTCGCCACCTTGCCGTGGTCGAAGCAATCACCCCCCCCCCCCCCCTCCCCGCGTTGTTCCTGTTCTGTTTTGTTTTCCTCGCGGCTTGCGCCCCCAGACGTCACCAGCTTAACACCCACATCCGGCGCCTTCGCGGGGAGCTTCTGGTCGCCAAGCAGCGGCGCAGGGATGCCCTCAGGAGCCTCGAGGTCGAGCGCGGCAAGATCAGGCGCTCGCTCGTGAGCAACGCTCAGGCAAGGCTTGGTTAGGCGTGGTCGATCGCGTGGACGGCGAGAGCGGAAACGAACGTTGGAAAGGCCGTAGAGCGGGGAACCCCGGCAGCAGCGGTAGCAGTACCAGCACCGGCGTATGATGGCGTAGAAAGACGTGTGAGGAAGCTGTTTCTGTGTTTGGCGATGGTAGAGTCCACATAGGGGCAGCAGCACGGCGGACGATTTTTCGAGCGTTTGAAACAAAGGGCTTGCGGGTCTTCCTTCGGCGACATTCTCACGCTTGTTTCCATCGGGCCGCTGTCTTTCGGCGAGCCGATGTAGCCACCCCGCGCGGCCCTTGCGCTTGCAGGTTGTGTGCGCCACGCTCTCCGGATGTGGGTCGGGGCCTATGGTGGAGGCGGTAAGCCTTTCGGGCAAGGGCTTCGACACCGTTATCGTAGACGAGGCTTGCCAGGTACGGAAGGCGTTTGTCAGCTTGCCGTCAAGAGACAGCGCATAACGCGGACTAACTTTTGCACCGGCAGAGATTGGAGCTGTTGCGCCCCGCATTCCTTTCAAGCACGTCTGCAGAGAGCGTATGGTACACCTCCTCGTGCACTGCCCTAGATGTAGAGAAACAACGACGGCACCCGAAATCTCGCCATCACCTTACGGCCTAGCCGCCGAGGAGATACCCCCCCCCCCGACGCACAAACGCGGATGCCCGTGGTTGCTGCCTGCCGACTTCTGTCCGTTGTACAGGCGACGGAGCCAAGTACACTGATACCCCTTTCTTTAGGTTGCAAACGCCTCATTCTAGTGGGAGACCCTCGACAGCTTCCGGCGACGGTTATCAGCCAACGGGCGGCCCGGTGAGATTTTGTTTTTCTCCAACGGAATATATATTATTTAACGTGATGAAAAAAACATAGAAGGAAAGGGGAACGCAGATGTACATGGTTTCGTGGACGTGGTGAATCTTAGGATGTGCTCCGATGCGACGTGTGTCGACCCGGCGTTGGACAGATAAGGGTCGCTGACCCGCCCTCCTTGCGATAAACGTTGTGGGCAAGAAGAGGAGTCCTATCTGTGCAACCCCCGGCTGGTACGCCCGAAACTTTTGCTGGATCGTGTATTCCCGAGTGTTTGGGATGATGGGGATTGAAAATAAGACGAAAAAAACAAGGTTAATAAGCAGCCCTATCGTCTACAGGTAGTTCCGTAAGATTTTAGCAGTCAAACGTTGTATGTCGGACGGCGTCCCACTGTAGTCGCGGTTCGTCGGTGTGCTTGGTCTTGGGGACACGTTTGTGCACGTGCGAGTGATCGCTTTCTGCGGGTGCAGGTTCCTGCTTGTCGCTCAACGTCGTGTTGTCTTTCTTGGTGGTTGTGGTGTTGGTAATGGCGGTGCTGGTGCCGTCGTTATACAATATAGTTATACTTTTGGTGATGTTGCTTTTGCTGTCGCTACAATTGTATAACGCACGGTATTGTCTCAGTATCTTCAAGCTGCTGCTATGGTTTGGGACGTTTTTTCTGGAGCAGTCCATCACATGATGCTCCTCTCCCTCCCCCCCCAATGGTTTGCGCTTGATCTTGGCGTTTTGCAGCTTGAACCTAGAGGTTAGCCTCTTCGAAAGATTGGAGCGCGCGGGCTACCCCGTCCACATGCTCACGGTGCAGTACCGGATGCATCCCGAGATTCGAGCCTTTCCGTCAGGTGGGTTGGCCATCAAAGAATTCGGCAGGCGTGAATCCACCTCCTCATTATACCCATCATCCAAAGGCGTGTTGAGCGCCCTTAAGTATTGGAGGCGTCTCTATATTACCAGGAAGAGGCACGGTGCTTGGTACTGAAGAGGATGCATACTACACCATGGCGTTACTCAAATGCGAGAACGCCCTTCTGCCCCCCCTTCTATCCGTCTTGGGCAAAGTCCCCACCACACACACCCTCGCCGTACTGAAAGTGCTGTTCGACGGGTGTCTCCAGTTTGGTCTAGACATACCGGGATGAATCGCGAGGAGCTCAATTTGATTTCTTGTCGAACCTGCATCGATGTCGGCTTGTACAGGTACGTACGTTTCGGCTTGGGCACGACGTTCTATGTCCATCCTTTGCAAACCCTCGTTTCATTTAGTGCCGTCGTGTGTGCGCCGGTTTATACTTGCTAGAATCAACCCCTCGTTCCTTTCTCTCCTCCTCTCCCCTCTCCCGAATCTTTTATCTGCCACTTGTTCTCTCTGTCTCTCTGCCCTTCTACCTCTACCGTCATTGCTCCCGTCGTACCCCACCCTCCCTGTCATTTTTCTCTGTCGTTTCTATATGTTTGTCTTTTCGCTACGTGGTACATTCCGGCACATCAGCGCGCTTTTACAATGGCCGGCTGACTGACGCTCCATGCGTAAGGTGAGCGAGACGGGCCCCCTGCCGTCACTGTGTTTCCTACGAACGCCCTTTCGCCCGTCTCTTACAAACATTTCACGATGAGTGTACGATGAGTGTACGATGAGTGTGCACCATACGTTGCACTCTGCGACAATTTCAACATGGAAAGACCCGTTTTCGCATTGTCCGTCAGACCGCTCGCTGTGATGGAAGTCGCGCGGGAGGCCCTAGCGTTTCCGTTGAGTCGCCCTTCACGATGGTGCACCGCGTCCAACAGGATGCCCCGTCGCGGTTCAACAACCTAAGACGGAGGCAACAAATGAGCACCCCCGCCCGCACTGCCCAGTCGTATTCGTTAACAACTCCAGCATTGCCGCCCCCGCACACCTTGCGCCCCTCTCTTTCCTCTCCGAAACAGGGACCAGGCAGCGATCCCGGCACAATCGCCATCATCGGAGACGACTGCTCTCCCGCCCCTCGGGCCGTGCTTCCCGCCGTTCCTCCTCGTGGACGTATCGTCCGGCTCCGAGCGACGCGCCGGGAGCTCGTACCAGAACCCACGCGAAGCGTCCTTCGTTTCCGCGTTCTTGGCGCGCCTCGTGGCGTCCGGTCTGCGGAGCGGCCGAGGGGTCAAAGCCGGCGGCGGCGGCGGCGACGGCACTGCCGCGGGCGGCGGGCAGGACCGGGAAAAGTCGGGGGTGGTCCGGGTGGGCGTCATCACACCCTACCGGGGCCAGGTGCACTGCATCCAGCAGGAGCTAAGCGGCGGCGGCGGCGGCGGCGGCGGCCGGCGGCTAAAGGGGGGCGTCGAAGACGGCGGGGTTGATGCCGAGGTGAGCGCTCTCCCGACTCACGCTTTTCTTTGTCCTCCGTGTAGCAGCAGCGCGTGCGGGAAGCTTAAGCTTGAGGCTGTTTTTCCGGACGAGCAATGGTGCAGAACGAGGCGTTGTTGTTGCTTCGCGCTTTCCCGTGTGACAAGAAGCCACCTCGGGGGAGCGTTTTCTTCTTCTTTTCCTTTTGTGTTTGGTCCTAAATTTATCTCCCATGTGTCATCACCCAGCCTTGGACTTGAGACTTTTAGAGAGTTTCTCTGGCATCTACCCCAATACTTTCCCGAAACTCCGGTCTCGATTCTAGAGGAACACCCTTCGCCCAGTTAAAAAGAAACGATGCGGTTACCCTTGGAACATCTAATCAAGACGTGGCCACGAGGCGTTTCGGTTCGATCCTGAGACGGTTGGCCCGGGTCCTCACGCCAACCCCCGCTTCAAAAGTCTACGCTGCCCTGTACCGTAGAACCACGTCTCATCGGTGCCCTTTTTTTTTTATTCTCGCAGGTGAGCACGGTGGACGGTTTTCAGGGAAAAGAGGTCGACGTCGTTCTCTTCTCGTGCGTCCGCGCCCCGTCATCCGGCGGTGGCGGCGGCGGCGGGATAGGGTTCCTTGCCGACCAGCGGCGAATGAACGTGGCGCTCACCCGAGCCAGGCGTTCCCTTGTTGTCCTAGGAAACGTCGGCCGGCTGTCCTCCGATGGGACCTGGAAAGCGCTCGTCGACCACTCCAAGTCGCGCGACCGGCTGGAGCCGGAGGCGGTTAAGGCGCGGACGTCCGGCGGTGGGAGCGGTGGGGGCGGTGATGGGGAAGCGTTGTGCGCGCGATTGGAAGAGACCGCCGCCGGGAAGAAAGGGGGACGTGATCGGAGCGGCGATCGCCAAAGCACGGGAAGGAACCGAGCGGGTCGCGGAGGAAGGGGCGAGGCAGACGACGCCGTCGGCTCGGGAGTCGCGGGTGGCAGCGACAAGAAGGAGATCCAAGCGCCGCGGCGCCCTGCAGGCAGCCGCACGGGAGGACACGGCCGTGGAGACGGCAGCGGCGGCATCAACGTCCCCGACGACCGTGCTGCTGCTGCTGTGGTTGTCCCTCCGGCTGTGGCTGACATCGGGGAACATTGTGCCGACAGGAGAGCGAACCCGCGACACGAGCCGGAGAGCGTCGGCAGCGGTCAGCGACGGAAGCCGTCGTCGCGTGGCGGTGACGGAGTTAGACCATCCGCTGGGCTTGAAGGGAGCGTACGAGACCGCCCACCTGTTGATAAGCGCCAGCAGCGCCATGAAGAAGCCGGAGGGGCGAAGCCAACACCTCGAGGATCGGCCTGCAGACGGCCGGACGGCGGAGCGGCGAACCGTCCGCAAAAGCGGGCACGAGCTGACGGCCAAGGAGCGGCGAAGAGAGTTAGCACTCCTGACGGCGGGTTTCTTGGAGGGTTGCTCAGCTCTCTGAGCTCCAACGCGGGCGGAATCGCCTCGGGCAAAGAGCACGACTTCCGGCAAGGGTTGAGAGGCGGCGAGGTGGGTTTAGGTTGATCTTTGAGCACGGTGCATCCTTTAGTGTTTAATCCTTTGCCGACGAAGAAGAAGGGGTATCACTCAAGATGGTGCCGGTGAATGGCCCTCCGAATCTCCACGTTGCATGTCCTCACGGTCAGCCATGTACCCTAGGCATTGGCTTGTGTGGTGCCGATGGTTCGTGCCGCACTCCTCGCAGCGCTTGACCCTCCTGGTGTTTTGGGGGGAATCTCCCCACACTAGCGTTTCGTAGTTTGTTCCCGTTGTCCTTGTCGTGGTGCTCTCTCTGACTTGCCGAGATCGCTAGGCTTCCTCGTGTGTTTGGACAAGCCGCCGTTCGCGGAGAAGAAGCCAAACCATTGGAGCCCGAAGCGTGCTCGGACTCTTGAGTTTTGTGAGAAGTTTGGGGAGCTTCGGCCCGTGGCACATGGTCTGAAATACGACAAAAAAAAAACGAAGTTTGGGCGGGACCACGGGCCGCCGCAGAAGGGCTTCACCAAATCGAACTCTAACAATGAAATAATCCTCACTGAGAACGATCACACAAGACAGCTACGGATATGTTTCCATGGCAATGCTACCCCCTTAGTCACTATTCTCTCGGTTAGGACCACCGGAACTTCTGCGGTTGGACACTACTGAGACCTTCAGCATCGGCGGGAATGCCCATCAATTTCTTGTACCAGACTCCGTTCGACTTTCGCCATCTTTCGCGTTTGATGTTTGCACCGCACGACGAAGGATGAGGAACGGAGGCGGGTGGCAGCAGCCCCGCGCCTCGGCGGCGCCCGAGTGACCGAACTCAGCCGCCCGGTAGAGCCCAAGCAAGCTCCGCCTGCCCGCCACTCCTCCCGAGCCGCCGCCGCCGCCACCGGCCGCCAAACGCCGGTCGAAAGTGATGATCGCGGCGGACGCGGCAGCCACCGCGGCGGAGGCTTCACTGGAGTGGTTCCGCCGTCTACACCGACCGATGCCAGGAACGGTGGACGTGCTGTAGGCACCAGCAGCGCCAGCACCGTGAATGCAAGGCGTGTCGCCCCCTCGACAGCACGAAGAGACGCTAGCTCCGCCCGGGTCGGTCGGAACCAGTTCCGTGGGGGGGCAAACCAGCACAGCCAGCCGCCCCCACAGCCTTCTGAGCAGCGGAAACGAGCAAGACGTGTGGAGCCAGCGGCAGCGACCGGTGCCGGGAGCGGTGGGGCCAGTTCAAAAGCAGGAGTCGTGAAGCAGCTACCCGCGTCGCGCAGACCAGGAGCGTCAGGCGGTAGCAGCGGCGGCAAAAGTGGTGGTGCGAAGAAGACGGAGTCAGAGGCGTCCCGTGGTGGTGGGGGCACGAGCGTGCTGGACATCCTGCAGGGGATTAGCGACACCTGGGGGGACAGCAGTAAGAAAAAGTGAATGCCCTACCCCTTAGACGTCGACAGGGCCGACAAGAAGTGACTTCGCAGGTGTGTCGTCAGCCGACGCCTGTCTGCCGAAGCCTTTGAACTCTCGAATAGAATGGAATGCTTGTTTTGTCGTCGACTACCCCACCATTACACGGAGGATCGGGTCGGCTGTGCACGTACGTTGGTGACTGTGTTTTTAGTGGTCTATGTTCGGTGGGAGTACAGTACTCTGTTGGTTGTATCGGGCTACACCGAAATCATTATCACGTGTTAGGTGTCCCCATTTGCGTTGTACTGTAGGGCGCTTGGGCGCGTCGTGCCGCTGGAGTGAGTTTGATCATCGTGAATAATGTAAATAGTGCGAGTATCGAACTGAAAAAGAAAACGAGACGAAGTATGTGTTGGTTGTCAGAGAACCCCAACGTACTGGCAACAAAACGTTGGATTTGCGTCGAGTGTGAAGGACGATGTTCTCCGGTTCCCTCAGAATGATGAGTGTGTGGCGTGAAGTCACTTGTGTGTGTATCTGTTGCGTGTTTTGCTTGAGATTCGTATCCGGATTCCCACTGTCCACGACGCGTGTGCACCTTTTCGTCGTGCTGCTTCAACGAGTGACGACGGTAGGCTAGCACGGTAGAGAATCTCGGGTGTGCTGTGCCTCGTGCTGTTACTTGGAGTATCATGCCGAGATGACTAGAGCCGAGTGAGTGGAAGTGTGGTGTGAAGTGGAATGCAAAACAATGCAGGCAGCGTAGGAAGCCAAGCGCAAACTGTGGTGGCTTGATCTGATTGGGTTCCGTTATTTGCACAGTGAGTTGAGACTTAGCGGTGGATAACATTGGCCGGAACGATATGTAGATGTTTTGCTCTCATGTTGGTTTCGGGCACTATTGCCCATATGCCGTTTCCGTGCTGGTGTTCCTTGCATTCATGTGGATTGAGTCGAGTTCTCTGTCGTCTGTGTCGGGATTAAGAATTTACCCCCTTTAGCCCTGATTTGCCGCGTGTGCAGGCATTCCATACGTTTCCGCTCATCATCCTGAACTCGATACCGCGGTTACCCTCCCTGTGTCCAGTTCTTGTGAAATAATCCGTTCCCGGGAGGGTATTTTTCTCTGGCCCAAACTCAATTCATTTTGCTCTTGCCCCTTGGTTTTATTGACACTTGTGTGGTTTGAGGGCACCGGAACGTATTGTGAATCGGACGTGTGGCCACAGGCATGCGAAATATGAGACGGGGAACATGTAGGCTGCATGTCGGCCCAGGTTTTGGTATACATCGCCGCCTCCAAGCTCCGAACAGCGGGCGCGTACGTACATGATGACACACGTGATCAATTAAGTGCGCCCCACGGCGCTGGGTGTCCTGCCCCCACCGGTGGGACGGCAAGTGAATTCGTCCAATCATTGCTATTCTCACCGGTGGGAGCTACTGTATCTCCCGAGAACTCAAGCGATCGGCAGCCACAAAAACTACAACAACCTCCCGTGGAGGTTTAGCCTTCGCAAATATCCGTTCACTTCCACCACAAAAGCCCGCCAAGCGGCCATCGCACAAAAACGAGATATGATGGGGTCTAAAAAGCACACGGGTACAGGGAGGGAGTTGCACGGGAGGACTGTACAATAGTCAGAAAAGGCAAGGAACATGTGTTGTTGTGCAAACACATGAAAGTACAAGGAACGCAACAAGGCAGGCACCCCATTGGCCCCCAACAGTATGAGCGGTCACAGCACAACACACCTGTCCATACGGTAATAATACATACACTTTCTGTGAAAGCAACATATTTCAACGTCCTGCGGCCGCCGCATCCCAAACATCTCGGATACGTGCCGCCGATGTATTTCACTTCATTCAAGTCCAATCAGCCCGCGCATTTATTCATGGGAACGTAGGACGGGTTTGATCCCCTCCCCCGCTCCCCCCAGCACTCCATCCCGTTCTTCTCCCGTAGCAGCAAGGCCTTCTCCCGCCGGAGCTCCTTTAGCCGCTTTTCGATCCTAGCCTTTTCCGCCACGACCGCCTCGCCACTGGCCTGCAACACCCCCCCCAAGCGCAACGGGGTTGCTCCCCGACTCACCGCAGAGCCACCGTCCCCGCCGGTCCAGCCGCCGCCACCCCCGGCCACAGGCTTGTTGCTACCTTCGTTCTTGCCCCCAGGATCTACGCGTTGGGCAACGGCGTCAGCAGCCGGGCCCTGCCAGTTCCACGCTGCCCTTCTATCAAATTTCTTTGCTGCTACTTCTCGGCGGTCTTTCTTGGACGGCAACGGGAGGGGCGGGTAGGCGATGCTGCCGCTGTCCTCGCTGCTGCTGCCGCTGCTGGCCGCCCCCATTGCCAAGGCGGCCGAACGGTGAGCTTGGACGACGTGCGGCTTGGGCCTCGGCTTGCTATGTCTCTCCCCGAGATTGTTAGGCGCGAGAAGCCCGGGCGGCGAGTTCCCGTTGCAGTCGTGGCCTGATCTACTCACGCCGAAAACGGCGTCGCAGAGGTCTGAAGTGTGCAGCTTCTTGGCGGTGCTCCGATCGAGCCAGGCCACGACGGCCTTGGTTTCGGATGTCCTGAGACAAATCTTTAGCTCTCTCCACACCTGCGACACGCAGCAAGTATGTCGTGACAAGATGCACGAATGACGTGCGGTGCCAAATCACCATTCGTGCGCCCTCAGTCTACGCCGACATCTCCGGTGAAGGGATCGATGCCACGAAGGCACCGTATTTTGCCTTTCTGATAAGCACCAGGTGACCTAGTGATGATTAGCAGTAACTTCATGCAATCGATACGCTGTGAGCGATGATTCAGGTATGAATGAAGTGTTGAGGAGAATATCTCCGCCAATGAAGCAGAGCTGTTTGCGATGGCAAGGGCAGCAGCTCCAGAAAATGTCTTTCCCTCTAGTTCTTGGCCGTCCTTGGCGCAACTGGTCATGTTGATACTTCATCATGTAGATAGTGTCCAAAGAAAGGTGTTCACAACGAGGTCAAGCGGTCCTTCTCACAACACTCAAACATACAATGTACCGCTTCCTCTATGGGTACCAATTCGTCCAAGACACTGTGGACGCGAGACTAGTTACCCGTGTGAGGAGAAACCTGCTACCAGTACGCTTGCCGTAAAGGCGAGGAGAGAAGTCAATAACGCGAAAATGGCTTCGAGTAATATATGGAGATGAGTTCGTTGTTTTGATTCGCCTTTTGGTTGCGAGGGTCTGCCAAAAACGAAAGTCTCGGAAAGGTTTTGCCATAGGTCTTTTCGTTCTCCTGTGGGAAGCAACACATGGACGACGGGAGCCTAGTGAGGTATTGCCGGCCAACATTGGGCAAGTAGAAGGCAAGAGAGAACAAAGTTCGCGTCGAAACTCGAAATTCGTCAAAACGTGTGGAACTCCGAAAAACAAGCTCAATGCATAAAGCGTGCCCATGTTGACGGAGCGTGCGGCTGAAGACGAGAAGGATATATATATCAGTTTCGAGCATGTGAACAACCTCAGCAATGTGCAAAAAATTCCCGTCCAAGCACGCGAGCCCACACGCAGCTTTCACAACAACAGCATCACCTGCCGCAACTCGTCCACGCCGACCAGACCACTGTCCTGATGGTCGAACCGCAATATCGTTCCTTCAAGCAAGTCCCGAGGCGATATCAGGGGTAACGTTGAGGCCGACCCGGCCGCTCGTTTCGCCGCAGCGGTCACCCCCACCCTGATACGTTCCACCGCGTTCTTGACTACCGCTGGCTCCCGGACCTGAGCGGGTAGGAAAATGTGCGAGGTGCCGGTCTTCAGTCACTTACCGACGCATTGATGTTGACACCGGGGGGGGGGGGGCGACCGGGTTCAGGGGGCAAGCGGGGTTGTCAAAAATTTTATTCCCCTTTTGGTTTTATCCCAAAAAATGGGTGGGGAAAATTTTATAACCCTGCCTGGAGTTTCAGTGTTTAGTAGAAAGGAGTAATGGGTCGCGATGTCGCCCGGACTGAAAAAACATCCGCAACCATAGGCTAAAAGAGCGAACGTTCAGGGCTCAATGTTCCGCGCTACGAGTTTGGTGGTAAGCACATCCCTAAACTTCTAACGTGATCGGCATCAAGGCAACTGGGTCGAAACTCGTTGTCCAAGCAATTGCTCGAACCTGAAGAGGCGAGCCGGAGGTTGTTGTTTTATTTGTTGTTGTTGCGGCTGTTATCGTGGCAGTTTTTCTAGCGGTGGTCGTTGTGGCAGAGTCCTTGCAAGCTCACGAAGGCCGTCAGCGGATCTGCCGTAATAAACAACAAAACATTTGTTGATCAGCCGTGCGTGTTGTTCCAACGCATACCAATGCGCGCCTCCATCTCGTTTGAGGTGAGTGTTCCCTTAGTCCAGGTTGTTCCACGTTAACCTGGATTAACTGTGTTGGAATTACGCGTATTCTTGGAGGTATCTACCATCGGCAGCGAGCGTTACGAAAGAGAGACACCCTCACCGTGCGATCCAACCCGTTGAGTACATCCACCTCTTCGATGTAGGACAGCATCGGGTGCGACATGGTCTTGATCTCCTTGCACAAGAGCTGCGTCGGGTTAAAACGGGAATGCAAGAAAATGCCACGCCATGAATCACCGGCACAACCGACAAGACGAGTTGCTTGATGCCACGGGCTCCGTCGAAAAGGCAATACGTGACCTCACTGACCAACCTAACGCAGAAAAGGCTGGCTAGGCCAATGGTACACGAAAAAAATCCTGCACCCACGCCACCCCCCCCCACCTCAGCCGGCCCGAAATGAAAAAAGAGGAGTGTGGGTCCACGAAAACGTTTTTGCGTGTCTTTGGCTATGCAAATGGTGGCAACACGTGCGTGGCTGGGGGTCAGTGCAGCCAATGACCAATACCGGCTGAGGCATGGGTGCTGCACACGCATATCAGTCGAAGAAACTGAGGCACGAGAGCTGTATCCGCTGAAGCAAATTCCAAAGAATCTGATCAGGCTAGAGGACGACCACGACTCTTCTATCAATTTAGACATACACACCTCTTGTGTTTCCCTTGATATTCGGCACTTGTTCCATAAGTCGTCGTTAAGCGCAATAAGACATGTTGTACACAAGCTGATCTTGATCGAATCAGGCCACCCGTGCTTTGGGGTCGTCTTCATTAACCAGTTCCGTGCTTCACGTCGACAACCGCCAACAACTCCGAGCTAACGATTTGTCCTAAACTAGACTGATTAGGCCAAGCACACGTATGCACACAAACCGGTCGTATCATCCCTCTTCCGGTTAGGTCGCCGCAACACCTCAAGCCACTTGATTGTTACCGTGCTTCAACAGTACCGTTCATACCTCGTAGCTCATCTCCCCAGTGCCGTCGAGGTCGTAGTACTCAACCACAGCGTTCGCCTCGTCTTCGGTAGCGTAAACCCCCATCCGCTTCAGCGCCCCCACCTGGTTTTCCACCGATCGATGTATTTCATTGGTTATTGCCCGGCGTTGAGCGGCGAAAGAGGTGGTGAATGTAAAAAAAGCAAGACAAATATGTCTTCACTGTGCTCGGCTCGTGGGATCAGCCGTTCGGGTGCAAACGGAGCACAGATCGAGAGAGATAAAAGGTGCCCGCTACTGGTACCTCGTACCGCTCTTTTTCTGAACGATGGACTGTATATTTTCTCGTCGCTGTCGTTGTTGCCAACGGTGTTCATGATGTCGATCTTTGCACAGTACAAGCCGTCTCCACGGAGTACCTCCGTTTCCCGTCGTAATGGATGTGATTGCAGGGCATTTCGCTTTTAAGCGGCGAGAAACAAGCAACTCAGTGGTCGCTAGCTTACGCGTACAATGGGGATCAAGAGCGAGGCCCACAGCTTGAAACCATTGTACTGGCAGCAAATGTTTCAATACCTCATTTTCTCCAATCGAAAAGAAAGGAAAACGGCTGACGAAACGCTTCCCATTCCACCTGTTGACTACATTCTACCCCTAACGTACCAATGATAACCCTTTGTAAAGGGGCTCTGTGCAAAAGGAAGCCGAGCGTAGTTTCGCCAGAAACAGGAACGATGTATGTGGTCGTGGAGCTCGTCGAAGAGTACGGCAATAGCCAATTTTCAACCACTACATACACCCTCGAGGGTTAATCGGGAGTGAAGGTTTCCGCTGATTTCGATTAAGGCTCACCCGCTGGGCACGAGGGAACGTCTGATGCCCACCTGAAAATATTCTTGGTTGGGAGATTTTTGAAGAATTTTCCCAGCCATGCGTAGAAGGTATCGAAATGCTGTTGCTTTGCTGTCGTCGTTGTTCTGCTATCACATCGAAAAAATCTATGGTTTCTGCGAGTGGGTTGCGTACACACTGAAAACAGCTGACGGGGGAAAGTTGGTGGCCAAAAGCCTCACACAGCTCGGCCAAAGAGAAACCATGATGAGAAAAGACCCTATCCTATCGCGACAACATGCTGGAGGGCGGCATTGGGGAACTCACAAGCTCCCGTGGATCCAGCTTCCCTGATGCGTCCGCATCCCAGTCCAGGAACGCCTCCCGGATTATGGCGTGGCTCACACCTCCCTTCGTTTTTATCGTCTGTTCCAGAGCATCTCTTAGTCTCATCTTGAAGCGGTCCACGACCCTGCCCACCGCAAGCACGACGATGAATTCATTCGAAGTGGGGTATCGTCACATACGTGTTTAAAAATAGTTCTATGATGCCGTGATGACTGTTTACATGGGATACCATGGATGAAATATGGGATAATGTGTTGCTGTGGGTTATCTCGAGATTGGTCAAGGTCAACTAAAATCTTCAATATTGCAACGGCCTATTGAGTCCGATTGCGGTGCCGGTCCTTCTTGGTGTGTGTGTTCTTGCTTCACTCGTGAATGTTTCACTCATAGAAATAGAGGCCAAGAAACTAACTGAAGTGGTTTTGGAGACTATCATGGCATTTTTTGCCGTTTCACATGTACACCTTCGATGCGGGTTGTTGTCGCTGCATACCAGGCCAAGAATCCCTTTTAGGTACGCCCAACAGAACCAAGGCTAATCGTACGTAGATGAAATGATCAGTTGACAAGGTAGACACTGCTTTGTAGTTCTCACCCAGTCCTCACCCGGCTAAATACATTTTTCTTCGCAGGCATGGTGCCCTGTGGAATGTATAACATAAGGAGGGTATCAATCTTAAGCACCCGGCTTACGGACACCTGTTTCAACGAAAAGCCATAGACTACAAGTCCTTGCCCGAGGGACGAGTGTACCTGTTTGAGGGTTTTTCGTGCGGCCTCGCCGTGAATTGAAGGCTCGCGTGGTTTCTGTCTGACCCCTCGCTGGTGCTGTTGCCGGGATTCCCGTCGCTTGCCACTACTGGCGCCGAACCGTCCCAGCCTCCCGTCTTGTCCGTTTGCTCCTGCTCACCGGTTAGATTTTGTCTTGTATATTAGACTATGTTTTGGCGTTTCTCGGGCCCTTGTTCGTAGGTAAGGCGTGAATACCTGAGTCTTGAAGGTAGGAAAGTTATTGGCGATATAGTAGTTCTAGTCCGCGGGGTGTACGGGTGGGTTCATGCAGTTGGGACTGGTTTGTTTGGCGGACTGATGGGATGGCGTGTTCCCACTGTTTTGGCGTGTGTCTGTAGCGTGGGAGAACAAGATGGCGAAGGGAGCCCCGCCGTAAGGACCGTACAAACGCCGTACGTTTTGCGTTCTCGGCCGAACGCTGCTCCTTGGCCACGCCTCGTTTGCTGAACGTGTTTGAGACAAGATACCATGCCCTAGTCATGATACGTGGGGTGAAGAAAACAATATCATAATGAAACAATACCCGGCGTTGGGTTGGCTTTTGACCGCGGAAACGGTTTTTTATGACCTCGAAGAGCCTTGAAGAAGAGGTTCTGGAAAATGGTGAGAAAAGCCGTCACGTAAAGACAACAACAACAACAACACCCATCTCATCATCAAAGACAACGACGACGACAAAAACAACGACAGCAACAGGTGAAACATTCTGAAGATTGTGCATGGTTCAATGTACGAAATGCTCGCATTTGCGGATAAATGCCAATATTTCGTGCTGGCCAAATGGGTTTGATCCCGCTGTTCGTTCACAGAAGCGCGTGGGCAGATCGATCGACGTACAGGCAGGCCCAATTGTACATGAACATCATATGGATCGAAAGCAAGTTTCGTGAGGCAGATATAGCCGATGCAGACTACTGTTTATTGAAACCGTCGAATTTACCAGAGGCGTTTTTGTTCCTGTATTTCGGGGTATCTGAATGGAGAAGAGTATTTTGGAGTGGTAACTCTCTCGGAGAGTTCATGTGCAAGGAGAAGGCCTGCTGAACAGGCGTGCAATAGCAGAACTACACAACATCAGTAGAAGGTGGACTCAGAGAGAGGGATACAAAGGATTAGCCAGGTTAGGAGGCCAAGAAATCGCGTTCTTTTCTCTTTCTGGGAGCTTGGGATTCCGGGAGACCGGGAGTCGGGAGCTCCGGCGCATCTGGAGCGGAGCCCGCAGCTGAGGAGAATCGAGCCATCAAACTGGACACGGCGGCCGCCTGGACTCACTGGTACGTCTAGTACGTTTCTTGAAAGAGCGGCGTGCGATTAGTCAGCGCGTCAGGTTTTCGGTTTTGTGTATTTTTCGTAGGCTGATGGGGCTGAATATGTTCGTGCGAAGAGGTGCTTCGCCCGAAGAGATGGTGTGGGCTGTGATAGACCTTGCTGCTTGGTGTCTCGAGTAGCACATGGGATGAGGTTAGTGGCGCGCAGTCGGGGTACAGAGCAAACGGCGGTGCCGTGGCTCTGATAGTGGAATTGGTGTCTTGTCATGCGACGCTGCCCGACGACGCGCCATTATCCTCGTACCGTAGCGGTCGTGAAGTAAAAGCGCTGAGGTATGGCCAGGATCTGTGGGCATTTAGCGAGGTTGTCAAGAAGTCGGGGGGTGAACCAAAAGACTTGGATATGCATTTCCTTCCAATCTGGGGAGGTTTGGGAACGAGTAATCCAGACGGCAGGAAGGTGGAAGTACGATGCGTACAAGCCATACACAGAAATCAACGTGGAGGATTCGCGACGGGTGTCGAGCAGCGATAAGGAAATGGGAGCGGCGAGACAGCCGGGGGAGAACACGGTGTGGGTTAGCAGGAAGAAGAGACGATGTTCCACTGGAGTAAACCCATCATGACGACCTCGAATTGGGTAGAGTAAATGATGGAGTACCATTTGGGGACTTGGTCGTCTAAGAGGTTCCGTACAGTAGGAAGAGTTCCCCTCACCGGTGGAAAGAGAAACCCCCGGCTTTTTTCTTAGGGAAGAGAGAGAGACAGTAGTACTGAGGGACAGAGACACGGTAGGACAGGCGCAGAGGGAGTCTTCAGGAAACGCGTTCTGTCAGTGTCGTTTCTCTCTCTTCCCCGCGTGTGAAGAGAAAACATTAAAGAAAAAAATGAACATTAATGCAAAAATGGCAATTCGAAAGAAAAACTATAAACCGAAGTGAAATTTTCTGTTACGGTGGTGACCCATGAAGGCAGTGTCCGTTGCAGGTATCTGCAAGTGGATATTTCAACACATATTACCTTCCCTTTTTCTGAGAAACATTGCGGGGGGAACCCAAGCACGTGGGTTTACGCTACGATTGCTAGGAAGTAATAATTCAAGCTGTTGTCTTCCTCTCAACAAGAAATAACATGGACACGTGCAAACAAGCCTGGAACTCGACACAGAAACTGGTAAAACCACTGCGATTGGAAAAGTACGCAACGCGAGCGCTAAGGGGTCTTGTTTGCAGTAGCCCATCCGACGACTAGGCCACAACGAGGCTGGTCCCTGGTTGCGAGCTTTCGGGGTTAAAAGGGCCGAGTATTTTTGCTTGCCGAGCCGAGGACAACTGCAACAACAAAACCGTACGGACCCTTTGGGCTTATCAGGACAAGCTTCAACATGTGCGTGTTGTGAATGTTGGGCCGTGCCGTACTATGTACCTGATTCAGCATCTGGCAATGTCAACAGACAATAAAAAAACTCTACAAACCTTCGGGAGTTGGTTAACGAACAGGCCCTGATCGTACCCGCACACGTCGTCGACGAGCTGCATGCAATCGCAGCCGGCGGCGGGGTCGCCATTCTTCGCGTAGAACCTTCCCAGAAATTTCGGAAACGTTTCGCAGATTTTAGGCGATAGCAGAGAAGGTGACAGGGACAGAGAGACATAGAAGTGGAGACATGAAGGGTTTGGCAGAATGTAGAGAGCGCGAGGGAAGGGCGAGGGTGTGAGGAAGCGAAAGGCGGAGAGCAGTTAGCAGGGACCACGTAGAGAGCAAACATAAAGGGGTGGGAAGTGGGGCGAAAGCATGGAATGGCAGGTGTGCGTGAAGCTGGGGGGCGGCGTCAATAGGGTCAACTGAGCATGTCCGTGGCGCGTTTGACGTACGCAGCGGCGTGTGCAAGTTTTGAGATCCTCGTCAAAGCAAGGAACACGCTAGGCATATCCTGTTTGGGTTGGGCTCCAATAACTGAACTCACGCTGGTGGAACGACACGCCCACATGGCTGAAAAAACACTATTTTATTTCGGCAATGCTATTTGCTCCACCGGTTGAGTAAGTTCTTATTTGCTCCACCAGGCAGATCTCCACCCACAGAGGTTCAATCGACCTCAAACCAATTGCATCGTGTAGGTATGGACTACAGCTATCCGCAATGTACTTACAAGCTAAATCCGACCGGTGGTTGCAGAGATATGCTGAAAAAGGGGGTTCCGCAGCATGTCAGGAAGCAGTAATCGTCTCGAACCTCCGTCCACACCGCTCCAATTGACCTCAAACCTTTTGCGTCGTGTCTGCACGGTCACTGCCGTTCTTCCAAGCTATTGGACACGCCCATCCGATATATTCCCGCAGAGATATGGTCAACCGAGGGGTTCCGCAGCATCTAGGGGGGGGTAAATGTCAATTGTCCCGCTATACCCTCCCGTCACATAGCTGAACCACGCCTAACTCGGCCCGCATCGTGTTGGCATGACTCACAGCTATCATTCAAGCCATCCTCCACCCCAATCGGACCAGTGGGTGCAGAGAAACTCCCACACGCGGGGGCTCAGTGGCTCAACGGCCGGTGGAGCAGATAAGCTATCTGCTCCACCAGGCCAAACTCTATCTACCGGGCGCTGTTTGCTTACGAAGACTTGCCTTGTGTTGTCCCGGCTCACAGCTATCATACACGCCATCGGACACCCCGATCGGACCAGTGGGTGCAGAGAAACACCCACCCACCGGGGCTCAGTGGCTCAACGGCCAGTGGAGCAGATAAGCTTAACTGCTCCACCAGGCCAACCTTTATCTGCCGGGCGCTGTTTGTCCTACGAAGACTTGCCTTGTGTTAGCCCGGCTCACAGCTATCATACACGCCATCGGACACCCCGATCGAACCAGTGGGGGCAGAGAAACACCCACCCCTTGGGGCTCAGGGACTCAAGGGCCGGTGGAGCAGATAAGCTTAACTGCTCCACCAGGCCAAACTCTATCTACCGGGCGCTGTTTGACCTACTACGGCTTGTATTGTGTCGGCACGGCCCACAGCTATCATTCAAGCCACCGGACACCGCAATCGGACCAGTGGGTGCAGGGAAATGCCCACCCCTTGGGGCTCACGGACTCAAGGGCCGGTGGAGCAGATAAGCTGAACTGCTTCACCAGGCCAAACTCTATCACCAGGCGCTGTTTGTCTTACGAAGACTTTCATTGTGTCGGCCCGGCCCACAACTATCATACAAGCCATCGGGCACCCCAATCGGACCAGCGGGTGCAGAGAAACGCCAACCCACGGGGGCTCAGCGGCTCAAGGGCCGGTGGAGCTTACCTGCTCCACCAAGCCAAACTTTTTTTACCGGCGCTGATCGTCTTGCGAAGACTGTGGCAGGATAGGGGTACCCCCTGGATACGGGAAATTTTCTCACACGGGCTTCCCTCCGGGCTATTGGGGCGATGAGTCCCCGTGTGTGGGCGTTTCTTTGTACCCACTGGTCCGATTGCGGTGCCCGATGGCTTGAATGATGGTTATGGGTCGTGCCGACACAATACAAGCCGTAGTAGGACAAACAGCGCCCGGTAGATAGAGTTTGGCCTGGTGGAGCAGTTAAGCTTATCTGCTCCACCGGCCCTTGAGTCCCTGAGCCCCAAGGGGTGGGTGTTTCTCTGCCCCCACTGGTTCGATCGGGGTGTCCGATGGCGTGTATGATAGCTGTGAGCCGGGCTAACACAAGGCAAGTCTTCGTAGGACAAACAGCGCCCGGCAGATAAAGGTTGGCCTGGTGGAGCAGTTAAGCTTATCTGCTCCACTGGCCGTTGAGCCACTGAGCCCCGGTGGGTGGGTGTTTCTCTGCACCCACTGGTCCGATCGGGGTGTCCGATGGCGTGTATGATAGCTGTGAGCCGGGACAACACAAGGCAAGTCTTCGTAAGCAAACAGCGCCCGGTAGATAGAGTTTGGCCTGGTGGAGCAGATAGCTTATCTGCTCCACCGGCCGTTGAGCCACTGAGCCCCCGCGTGTGGAAGTTTCTCTGCACCCACTGGTCCGATTGGGGTGGAGGATGGCTTGAATGATAGCTGTGAGTCATGCCAACACGATGCGGGCCGAGTTAGGCGTGGTTCAGCTATGTGACGGGAGGTATAGCAGGACAATTGACATTTACCCCCCCCTAGATGCTGCGGAACCCCTCGGTTGACCATATCTCTGCGGGAATATATCGGATGGGCGTGTCCAATAGCTTGGAAGAACGGCAGTGACCGTGCAGACACGACGCAAAAGGTTTGAGGTCAATTGGAGCGGTGTGGACGGAGGTTCGAGACGATTACTGCTTCCTGACATGCTGCGGAACCCCCTTTTTCAGCATATCTCTGCAACCACCGGTCGGATTTAGCTTGTAAGTACATTGCGGATAGCTGTAGTCCATACCTACACGATGCAATTGGTTTGAGGTCGATTGAACCTCTGTGGGTGGAGATCTGCCTGGTGGAGCAAATAAGAACTTACTCAACTGGTGGAGCAAATAGCATGGCCTACTTATTTTGTCGTCTATATAGCGATTGTCCATCTCACTCCCATCGCGTAACCTTGGAAAAGAGCTGCGGTGGTCGCCAGGCACCTTTTTCCCGATGTATGTTCCTCAAGCGCCACTTCTCAAACACGTTATCAAGCTGGTGACCCCCCCACCCCCCCCTCCTTTTCGCACACGCTGATAAGCCCGATGTTCACATAGGGTCTCCATCGCGCTCACCTGGTCAGTTCCTTGGCCTGAGTGGCCGAAAGACGCATGTTGAGCGTCCGGAGGGCTCCGCGCAGCTGCTTGGTGTCCAAGGCACCGATGCGCTCCGTATCCCAGCTGTTTAGTTAATAATTTTCGTTGTTGATGCAGGGGTACTTGCCGATGTTGGTGGTGTTGGTGATTTGTTGTTGGTGCCACGTTCAACATGAGCAGTTTAGTAACTTGCTGTGTCTGTGGGCACTGATAGTTGAGATGTTCAAGAGGGTTCGGGTATGGTTGTTCTTGGTGCGACCGGATTTCGTACTGCAGCCCGGTGACCCTTTTCCTTCGGGTGCTCGCTCAATATTGCATTGAAGTGAGGTGTCCAGATACCTTGCCTACGACACAAAGAGCACCAATCAATGTGCTTCTTCGTTCGCGCAAGAGCCAATGGATTGATGGTGGGCTGAATCCTTACTCGCGATGCATGCATATCAATTTCGTATAGCCAAAACAAGCGCCGATTAGCTTGGCGTGCTGCTTTGCTGCTCACTTCAGGAAGAGGCTTTTGAGGATGCGACTCGGCGAGCCGCCCGCGTACTTAACCCGCTTGTCGATCACCTGCAAAATGGAAGGAAAGGGTAAACGTGTCTACAAACATCCCAATCAACAATCAGTACAGCCTGCAGAAAGCTGCATCCTGAAGCGTACGGTACGCTTTCTTGCGGTGAAAGTTTTGCTAAGTCGTCGCAATTGCTACCGCCTCTCGCTGTTGGCATCTCATGGCACTGCTGTTGTTGCGACCTTCCTACCTGAGCTCAAGAGCTCCGATCCTGGGTCAAACTATATTTTGTTGATTGTCTACGGTAGGTCGATCTCTTGGCAGCATGATGCGAAGTAGCCACGCAGAAGGGCATAAACCTTCGCAAGCGGCAGTATCACACCTACCGCACCTTTCCTCCGGTAAAACCGTCTTTGGCACGCTTAATATGGTGTACCATGACCTATCTATACGCATCTCCACGGTGTTGCCTGAACGACAAAAACCAAAGCGAAGAAAGAACACTGCAGCATCAAAACGATCGCACCTGCTGAAGCTTGGTGCGAAAAGCCCGGATCATGGGCGATTCGTCCTTGGCCGACCTCGACTTCCCTAGCAGACTTCCTTGGCTTCGGGCAGAACCCATGAGTCTCTCGGTGATGGACTGCCCGCACTCGAACAGAGACGGGGCCCCCGCCGCGGCGTCCCGCAGGAGGTCCGCGTGCGGAATTTGACATCGAGCATTTTCCACTCGGGAAGCATCTGGACGATCGTAACGGGTGGGGTGGTAAAGGTAATGTGAGATTCGAGCTGGATGGGCGGGTGGGGGTGCTTGAGTTTTCCTTGAAGTTTGTCTGGACGTGTTTCCATTTTATTTTGACGCTTGGACGTGCTTCCCTTTTCTGTACGGCTGCTTGGAGTATGTTCGCAGGGAGACGGATGGCGAGTGTGTCCGGCGCTGGTCTTGCCGTATAGCTATGCCTCTCTGCTTGTTTTGCGTACTTTCTCGGTTCAGGTGTTGCGGCGAACGATGGGAATTCTCTCTTTTATCGCTACGCTCGGGATCTTCCTCGAACGATTCGGCACGTGGCCCATAGTAGTCTTGTGTGAGGTTGGCTCTCGAGCACCTGGGGACACCCACCCTACAGACTTAACCCGAGTACGCCTCTTCCCCCCACCCCTGTACGCACCCTTCCCTGAACGGCCTCGTGAAGGGTCATGGTCGTCCAAAACAACTGTGCTCCCTCCTGGTTATGAACGATGTGAGGACTACGCCTCCTGAGTACTACCAACCGCCACCCGTGGGCATGGGCTCTCTGACTGGTAGACGCCTGCCCGCAAAAAGCCGGCGTGCTCCATCCCGGCTTTGTCTACGGGATGCTGTGGGGTCCATGGTCGTAGTGTACTTGGGCGTCCGCAATTGAGACAGCCCACACGCACCTTGTGTGGAGTAATGGTTCATGGTCTCCTCCAGCTCCATACGGGTGACGGAAACTCCTAGCTGCGACAACGCCCCGACCAAGTGCTCCTTGCTGATCATGCCGCTAGTAGGGTAGGCGAGGAGCAGACATGATTGTTTGTCCAATTTTCATTTTTTGTTTTAAACCGGAACGCGTAGTAAACGAAAATTATACTCGTTCGTAGTTTCCCGCCGTGAATTATTTTTTTCACGCAACAACCATGGTGGTTTGCCATCGTTTCCAACAATGTTTTTAGGATGTCAATCGGAAGGCACTGGCTCTAAATAGCAAATGGTGTTACGAACTTATTCAGTCGGCACAGCACTGCTAAGCGACGTCGACGTGTTCTGCTCCTCTCAACGTCACGCCCATGCCACCAACATACTTTTGAGTTATTTTGTTTGTGTCCCAAAACGTAGGAACGTGGCCATATTATTTGGAAAAAGGATGGGGGGTTAGCGCACAGATTGCCTTGGTCGTAATACTACTGGAACTGCGTTCAATTTTGAGCCTTTTCTCTGGTTGTGGCTGAATATACTTTGGATATGGTCAGCCTCACTGGCTACCTAATTAGCTCACCGCTCCGTGTGCACGCTTCGAGTGAGCATAGTCTCATGCGGGATGAAACCAGTGATGTACATTACCCTTTACCGGGAATTAAAAGGTAAAGGGTAGGCGGGGTCGGTAAAGTCCAAATTTTGCGGTAAACCTCGCCCCCCCCCCCCCATCCACTTGCGGGGCCCCCTCAGCCCTTGTCTTGCTAAAGGCGCAGCTGCTGCAGCTCTCCACACAGTGTCCCTCCCGAGCTGTAGCAGACCACCTACACTCTGACACACGCACACTGAAAGACCACCATGGCTTCTTGGAGCGCGCTTTCGCCGACATCCGTGGTGGAGGAAGCTGCTGATGGTCTCGTTGACGGATTCTCTGGCTCGTATATAGATTATTTTTTCTCTTTTTCTATCCAGTAATTCTTCGAGGAGGAGATGAAGAGGCCATGTACGGGAACGTGATAAACTTTGAAGAATTCAGCCTTCATCTTGGATTTTGATTTTTCCTTTCTTCTATTGATTGATTGATAGTGCTGTCAAGATGTGGAGCTGTAGACGAGGGGTGAGCCGTACCAGCAGCCCTCCCTGCATCCTGCTCATCACCCGCCCACACACCAATTAACAACATACATGTCTAACACACAACGCCCAGTTGCTATACATAATTGAAAGGCAAAAAGCTGTACTGTAGCATCACGTCAACACCGAGGATTTTTCAGTATACTGCTTGCTGTTTACTTAGGCCACATTGTTCTCTATATCGAATACACGAAGAAGGTGCCAGAACGCCAACAATGTGGGGTCACCGCGTCAAAGCATCAAAGTAACAGTGTTTTGGGGTGGTGTACCAGCGCTCCGAGCAGCACACAGCACCATGAACAAAACAACCTGGAAACCCCGGGGACAGTCGATTTTCATCCCCGCTTTGGACGGAAATTACCGGTCGGTAAAGCCGATTGCTGGTTTCGGTGTGTTACCGGTCGGTAAAGGGGTCTGACGCGGGTAATGTACATCACTGGATAAAACCTCGAATGCCTTCGCAATCCCTCCGCGAAAGGGAACAATAACAAGAAATCGAGCAAGCGGGTTATTTCCATCGCCTTTCGTGGGTCAGCCTAAAAACTTACTCAAGAAACAAATGCGATATTATGCAGAAAGAATGTACACAAGAAGTAAATGATACGTGTTCCGGCCCATTCCGGTCTTCGTTTGGCTTCCCTTTGTGATAATGAAACAGGGATATATACAGTTTGGGGGTGCGATATCTAAACGGTCACTCCTTTCTGCCTCGCCTGTTGTTCTGGTCCCAGTGGAGAAAAATACGGCGCAGGTTCGAGCCCGCCTGACCCCCGTGTTCTTTCACTTGACGGTCGGACATGTACCTTATCCTCTTGAGGACCGTGTTGACGACGTGCGATGGCTGCTCGTGTCAGGGATCGGTTGGGTGCCACGAGGAAGGGAGCCAGTTGACACGGGTTGCGCATGCGACGAAACGTGTAAGGGATGGTATTGTAAGTTCATGTACATGCATGCATGGGTAGGAAACAGGTGAACATGCCACATGCCCTTCACAGTTGTAGGATGAAAAATCGGGATAAATTGACTCCATTCTTGACTACGCGAAATACGGCATCCAGTACTACCGCATGAATGTGAGTGCGGTTGCGAGACATGCGGTAGTCTTACATGTACCAGGTTGTCCCAGCTGAAAAAAAGCAAGCCATATTTCGGGTTGTGAATCCCAGAGCAAAACCATCGCCGGAAACTATGTAAAAACAAGAAGGGTGCCATCGAAAAGACGCCTGTTTGGGGGTGGTTATTAGTTGTGTGTGCTGGGGGGGGGGGGCATACTTTTATGTTTTGCATGCCTTAGCGGTTCGACCATTGGCCACGCGTGCTCGAGAGGACGGAGCATTGTTCCCACAGGACCAATCACTGATGGCCAATCGTTCCTTTCTACTTTGCCAAACGTGACAAAAAAATGTCTTCCCTAGCCTATCTATCCCATGGATATCACTTCCGCCTATTCAACCCACTTCCTATGCCCCAGTACAGATACCGTGGCTATTCCAAACTTTTAAAACATCTCCCTGTATCCTCCTTCTACTTTCCGATCAGATCACAATCATGTATACTCCTCTCTCCTTTGGACAACCGAGATTCCGCAACTACATGAACACGGTCTCCGCTCTTGGAGCCGCACATTTGAACTTGCCGTCTTCATCGTCTACCTTCCTAAACCTTCGTCTACGTTCTTGAAGCCCAATGTCCCCGGTCCTACATTTGACCTTCAGCTTTGTCCCTGCATCCATTGGCCCATGTAGGTACTCCTTGAACCCTATTCCTTCTTTCAGGCGAGACAATCCATGCCTTCCTTAGGACAAACATGGTGGTAACAAACGCTATCGGCGAGTAAAGACAAACGAAGACTTTTGCACGCTTAGAGGCTGCTGTTGGTGCGTTTCAAGGCACCTCCTGCCCATCCTACGGCCCTCCCTGGTACGACACTGAACCCTAAACAATCCCGGTGTATGAAGGCCGGCGTAAGGAGTCACACACCTAAGTACGAAGGGACCACGGCTTACCTCTTTCGGTATCTCGCCGGATTTCTTCTCTAGGCGGGCGAGCTCGCGCTGCTCTTTCCGGCACCGCTCTTGGAACATCCGCCACTTGATGCCTGGTTGCCCCACCTCGACGCGATACACAGCTCGATTTCGTTCTCGAATCTTTGGGGGGAGGTTGTTTTCGAACGCAACAGATGTGAGGCAAAGGCGGCATCAGGGTTATGAGCCGTACGCATGTCCCGCAGTGGTACGCAGATGTTTGTGGTATATTTTCTGGCAGATTGGGAAATAATAGACCATTCGCTCATATCATTACAAGTCGTGGAGATTCAAGCCGTGCTTCTCAATGACGAACTCATTCACGGCTTGAAAAAAAACGATTAACAAGGGTCTGCTTGGCGTCGGTCGTGAGAAAAGATGAACTAATCGATCGTGCCTGTGATTGAAATCTTGCCCGAAAACAAAACGTCCTTCGAACCAGAACGGCCTGACAGAGCACTTTCGTTCTCGTTAATCGCCCTTTCGGCCGAACGCAGATAAGGTCATGATACACTGGTTCTCTATTCGCCCAATTGGGACAAACAACGTACACGCGCACTCTGCAGACACATTCCCCGTAACATCGCCGGGCTATGCTCATGGCCGAGGGTCAACGAATTTTCACCCCGTGATCTTGTTTTGAACGGCAGAAGCAGCACAGCTAAGACACGCGTGGACGGGTGAGGACTTGTTTCTTCACCACACACGCTCCCCCAAGCCCAAGACTTCGTTGTCGACAGGATTGACGGGTATTAGCCCAAAATCAGATGATCATCATCAGCGTTTGGTTGCTCTGAACCTGGGCAATTTTTCTAGTGCCGGCCACGGTGAAAGGCTGTTAGTGCACCCCGGCGCCTTTCCGCAGAGGCTAGAAGTCAAGTATGGGGACCATGTTATCCCAGGACCAAACGATGATGACAGAAAAAAACAGCGTACTCCCTCCAGTAAACAAACAGACCAAGATAGAGAATCACCTGAACACATATGCGTGCTCTCCCTCGAGGGGGCCCGCACTTGAACCCCCGAGAGCATATCCCTACACACATATATTTCCCAGGCCGGATGTCGTACCCAAGTATCACGAAAAGGCCGTCGCCTTTCAGTAGGCCTTACGCGGTTGGATCAACTCCCCCGTGTCGCTGAGCACACATGTTCCTCTCATATTACATCACGGCTTCACAATGACGAAGCGTCGTAGCTTTTTGGCCTCGGATAGAGATGCATGTTCAGTCTTGTCGGAACGCCCGTCGTTTGCGGCATTAGTAGCCACAGCGTCGCGTGTGTTTTCTAGGCAAAGGAGCCGATACAGGGCAGGTAGATTTCGTTGTACACTTTTCTGGCAACCATCTTATCTGCTAGGGGCACGCCTCAAAAGGTTGCTCGAACTCCACGACTTTCCTGAAATTTTGGTTCTTCAGCAATTGAATTTTAGCCAATTGTATTCTAGCCACAGATACCATTGCGACTGCGGGGCTCGCACACGCTCCAATGGCATCATCAGGAAGAGGATCTAATAACAAATTTGATGCACTTTGGTTTCGCGACGTTCATGAAACGAGGGGCTTTATCCAATTACGGCGCGTAAAATCGATGCATGTGCCGCTTCTCTGCGGAGAGATTGTCTGAAGGATTCACCCACAAAGATAGCATCGCTAAACACTCTTCTTCTGGACTCCGACAACCACCGGTTGCAGAACGACTCGCAAGCGACACGTCCCATGCATGGCGGGCGAGCTATTGAAAAGTGAGTCGTCCGCTATGGACTGGAGATAGGTTTGAAACCGCGCCATGCTCTCGTGACAACAGTTCGTTTCAAAGAGTAGGCATGGCCGTAAATTTAGCGTCTCAAATCCAACGATACTATTCCTGTATTGGATACTGTAGTGCCGTACATTTATGCTAACAATTCGCCAATTATCGCAGCTTTCGACCCGAAAGAAAAACCGGGTGGTCCCTCGATTCGAATAAGACGGCCTGAACCAACTGCGGCTTCTAGCACACAGATACACATCCGAAAAGGTAGTCTCTACGGCCCTCTCTCTCTCTGCCCTCTCTCTCTCTCTCTCTCTCGGAGTCAGTCGTAGTCTCTTGCATGTCTCTGCGTCGCTCCACTCTCTCCGCTCGTTTTGTTGCAGCAACAATTCGTGAATACTTGAATTTCTGCTCAACGAGCCGTACTACAAAGGGGATGGAGGAATCCTTGTGGGGCAGCTTGCCCTACGCAAGGCCATCTGCATGTGTTTGTACGGAGTAGTGAGTTAGGATGGCGCGCGGGACAACCCAAACAGCAATAGTCTATGCGTTCAAAATTTGGCCGAGCGGTCCACCATGGGCGCATTCTTGTGTGCACTGAGCGTGTTTCTCTATGTAGTGGACACAACGTTGGAGACAAACTTAAGGGCAATACAAAGTATTTGAAGTTGAAACCTCCCTTGGAGCCCGGGAAGCTATCGCCTACTCATGTTACAGCGGCAGCTCCCATGGACCCAAGGCTGTGCGAAGCCAAGACTGACTGCTGGGCATGTGCGGCTCAACTTCTTCCTGCTTGTAGGTGATGTTTTACCTCAGCCGGTGACATATTGGCGATCTCATCTCGCCAATTAGGCATTTTCCCTCCGCAGTATGAGTTGCACTTCCTAGGGCGCTTTCGGCGGGCCTCTCTCCCCGGTTCCCCTGCCTCCTTCCTGCTGCCTGCAGCATGGACATGGAATGGACACGCGATTGGGCGCGGCATGACGAAAGGCGGTGGAATTGTATTTTGTTCCTGTTCGGCCGTTGAACAGGAACGACTGCTGCTACAACTGCTGAACTGGCGCGTTTTCAGCAGCAGCCGGTGTGTTATTCCTCAAGGTAGAGTCAACTACTGTATATCCCGTCTCCAGCAGGCGTCTTTTAACCCCAATAGTAAACACTTTCCTCTTAGCCAGTGGTATTTCATTTCACTCCAACACAGGAAGGGCTACCAACCGCATACCATAGGAGGAGTACCAAGGTGTATCACGTATCACAGCTGCAAGACCAATCAATTCAGTCCAACAGCTGATGTGGCTGCCGTTTATCTTTGTCCTTTAGTCGCAAATGCATGATGCTCCAGGCGTATCGTTCGCACACTCACATCGGTACGCATTCTGGGGCAAACACCGAACAGTTCAGTTTACAGGTGTGAGCCCACATCCATTCGCTGATCCCACACGCATGGCCAAAGGTATATCCCAAGGGGGGAGAAAGTGTTGACGTATGCATCCGCAAGACGCACCTCCCCGTTCTCTCCGCGACATAGATTTTTTTCTTCTCTTTTTCCCAACGTCCATAGTCGTGCTGGCAGTCTGTCGTTTTAACGCTCTCATCTTGACTCCACTATACCTCCGTGCACTCCTCGCTATGTAGTCTAAGGGACTTAAGATCGTCCCGCGAATTCTCAACAGCGTTGCTCCCAGCGATTGTCTGTAGCCATTTCTCTGTCGTGCCGCCCGGTATTTGTCACTCTGCTAGCCACCGCATTCCAACCTTTCTTTGGAGAGCACGTATCTTCCCGAAAACGAACGTTTGATAAACGTCAAAATGCCAAAAATGGTGGTTGGCCGCGACGAGCCAAAGACAAAATCACTGCTTCTATCAAATACTCGAAGTAATCGACAAGAGCAACAGCTAAGACCAGCAAGACATAGCAGAGCAATAAACCCGTAAACCGGCACTAAGTGTCTAGAGTCAGCGGTACTTCCCCCCGTGTCGAGCTCGCGTCTAATCTACACAAATCGACAAATGCCTCTGTGCTAGGAACCGCCCTCTCTAGGGCTCCTTCTCCTCTTGTCCTACCGTAAGTTCGAGCGGTACTAAAAGTACCACCAGCAGTCCCAAAACTCCTACAAGAGCAACAAGCCAAAGCGTTCTAGTTTTCATCCTTCGAACAGCCGCCGAAAAAAACGTACGGTTGTTCAAGGGCTATTGAATATTGGAACTGTAAGCTCTATCCTAAAAGGCCAACATCATCACCCTATTTCTCCTTTGAAGTATTGCTCGGATCGTCTCATCGAAATCTCCCAATCAACCTATAATCAGTCGAATTTTCCCTCGTAGACGCGGAAGCTCCTAGCGATCTCCTGCAGCTGCGGTTTGACCGTCTTTGCGCGGTTTGCCGTCGTCGCACCCACCACCGCGTTCACGCTGTTGCCGATCTGTCAACGCGGCAATCGATCGGGCGCAAAGCGCGAGCATGCACACATTTATTCGGTGTGTGTGTGTGTGTTTTTTTTTTTCTTGTTAGCATCGACCGCGCAAACCGGCTGACCAATGAAAAGACGCCAGCTCAGTGCAGATGAAAACACAAAATGCTTTAAAGGCCATGATCTGGGACCTGTGAGGGGGTGTCATCATAGGGGAGTCTATGCTACTCTCCGGATTGAAGACAGAAGTGCGTGTGTGTTCGTCCCATCCATTCCGGCGCCAGTCTACAGGCCTGTCGGGGTGTATATATCTGAGGTATCAGACGGGGTCACACTTGCTAAATTGCACTCAAATATACCTAGTATCCGGCCAGTTATTGTCCCAAGCAGTGTCAAGACTCCCCCTCGAGTGTGGTTATATTTTGAACCGGTTTTCTTGTACTTGCATACTTTTCTCTAAAGCAGCAGCCCAGGGTGCACACCTTCAGTTGGCTGGGTTCGGGCGAGGTCGGTTGGCTTGGGAGGCGTTTTCGGATAATTAGCACAAAATCGACCAAAAATAAAGCGAGCGCCGCGCCCGGGCAAATGCTATTTGGGTTTTAAAAGAGTTGTGCAGTGTTCAATTCTAAGAGGACCGTGTTTTCGTGCCGACGCTGTCCAGTTGCAGCGCCATTTTCAACACGACGAGGACGTACAGAGTACAGAGAGAGATAAACACACTTTCCTAACAGCAGCCACGGAACCATGACCTGAAGTCATCGTTTGGGCTAGTCCATGTCTACCATGCCGACAGCGACCACGACAGCAGTAACAACAACAGACCGTCCGTGTGACAGTCACCCATCTGACCGCCTTCGCCAGGTTTTCAATATTGAACTATGAGATAGAGAGGGGGGTTTCGTACCCCTATCCCCAACCCAACCCCGTACCCCCTATTAAAACCGAGCTTAATATCCTCGCCAAGACTACTGCACCCATCTAGACTTGGTGAACGTCCACAACACCAACAACGACAACAACAGGGGTACACGTCTGGAGAAAAACGTAACCGAGCCGCCATTCAAGTCACGATCTAGCTTGGTGAGTGTCTGCCGGAACAATTAGTGTCAACAACGATACGTCAGTCGTACACGCACCTGGGTGACGGATGCCACCCCCTTCCTCTCCACAGTGAAGCCAGCCCCCGTGAGCAGCTCATACTGGAAGTCCGCAATGTAGTACTTGTTTCCGTTGAAGCTGTTCCCAGTATTTCAAAGAAGGCAAGCAAAGCATCAAAGCACGTTCGGCCAGGAGGGGGTTAGGATAAGGGGTGGTTGATAGGTAAGAAATGACTGTTTCGGACGGGGGAAACATGGAGTTGCAGACTTGATATTAATGTGGGGTCCAAAAGAGGGCTAGGGCAAGGATAACCCAAGGGTCCACGGTATCGCAAGTGGCACACGATATCGCCCTCACACCCTCACGACATATCGCTCCGTTCCGGCATTGTAGGAATACTTTGCATGAGTACACCCCCCCCCCCCTTCTGGGTTGATTTTCGAATCGAGGTATCCCCACGACAAAAGGGGTGGTTACCACAACCAAAATAGATGAGGCTTCAACAAGCCGCCCCTCTTTACTTTCACGACACGGCATCTCTTCTGCCGCCGCCCTTCTGGACGCGAATAAATTGTATACTGGACATAAATATCGAAGGTAAAGATTTACTCAAGTATTTTGTTTGGTTTGCCCAACCAGCTGTACTTTGGTTCATGGAAAGGCGTGCAAAACGTTTAGAGTTAGGTTACTCACTCTGTCTCGCCGTCCTTAACGCTCTTCAGCTTGAAGCTTTGGAACTGGTTCTCGCCCTGTTGGAAGAAGGACGCGAGGAAAGGTGGCGACATCCCGAAAAAAGCAGTCAGAAGTGAGCCCTTTGCACTCTCTCAGCACCAACAACAACCCGGACGGCGATCGCAGGCGTCGGCACAACAACGATACACCTCGAGAGCAAAGCCAGCACAGCGTTGGCTCGTGACACACGAATCGTTGCGACAGTGAATATATAGACAAAAAAAAAACTTTTATGCACACTGTTACAAGTAGTACATTTTTTCTTTTTGGTTTGTTGAGGTTCGCTGGGCTGTTCGAGTCAAAAACCCGTCAGCTGTATGAGCTGCTGAGCTTGTGAATCGGTCCTGCTGCCTGCATTCACTCTCATCTTGCATGATCACCCCTTGATGACACTGCTGTGCTCTCATTAGCCCACTCCGGAGGAATCACTTGTACATACATCACCTTTTGCGATAGAGCCTTCTTGAGGACCCCCTCCATTGTGTCCTTGCTGGAAAGGCTGGACCCTCCGATGAGCGACTTGGGCGCTACGAACAGCCCTGCCGAGTCCCCCCTGCCGACATGGACGATAAAAAGAAAAAAGAGTCGCGCTCGAAGTAACCTAACGTTAACGTTTCCTACTTCAAGTGGGCATGTGCCTCTAAAGTCGTCCCGACGGACACGAAAATCGTGGCCGCCACTGAAGGGGAGCAGCGTTATACAAGTCGCGAAAAACGAAAGAGAAACCACCAACCATGTGGTACCATGCACAGTTTTCTCACGATTTTATCTTCCTTTTCACCTTGGTCCGAGGTGAACGTCCGTGGAAAAACAATAACAGCTTCTTTGTGGTTTGGTGTGCGTTCCATTCTACTCAGTCCATGATACAGTGCATACAGAAACTGCACGTACACAACTGTTGTGTCGGTTGACGTGCATTGTTTCGTGCGTTTCTTACATAACTGCTGTTCTATTGTCTTTGATTGTTTTGCTCGTTTCTTACATAACTGCTGTTGCATTGCCGTTCATTGTTTCGCTCGTTTCTTACATAACCGCAGTGCTATGCCGTTCATAGTTTCATTCGTTTCTTACACAACTACTGTTGTATTGTCTTTCATTTGTTTCGCTCTTTAGCTGCGGTTCGTTCACCTGCCGTAGTCCCCCGTTGAAACCGTCCCGGCTTCCTTGTTAGTGTCTGTGTTGGGCCTCTGGACGATCCACCCTTTCGGGTAGTTCCTGGACAGAAACAAAACAAAAAGGGGGGGGGGTAGGCGGGGGGGAGGAGCGTGCTCATGTGTTACATGCCTTAGCGATTAGACCATTGACCACGCGTCCTCAAGAGGACGGAGCATTGTTCCCACAGGATCGATCAAAAATGGCCAATCGTTCCTTCCTACTTTGCCAAAGGTGGGTCAAAAATGTGTTCCCTAGTCTATCTATCCTATCGATATCACTTATCGCCTTTTCAACCCACTTCCTATGCCCCAGTGCAGGCGGAGAAACACATAAAACAAACAAACGTGGTGTTCATTTGAGCCTCTCACCCTCAACAAGGGAACGGCACCAACAATGCAGTTGCCACAAGCAGCGTTGCCGGGAGAGAGGGGAACGCAGGTGCAACACTTGGTGTAGCCATTTCTTCCTTGTTCGTGGACAATTAAGAGTCATGCCCCCATGTAGTGTGGCAACGGCAGTCGCTTGCAGGAAGCTCATCAACCTCCTCCGAAGCCCGTCCAGTACGTCTAAGCAAAGCTCTCAGATTGTCCCCAAACCACTCTCTTCGATGTGGTGCCTCCTCGGTCGTTGAGCATTCGAGCTATGAAAGTCTGAATACAGGGACGGTGCGATCACTCGGCCATTTTTACGTCATATGCCAAGCCCAAGCATAGCACCAAGTGGAAATAACTGTGAACGACAGTCAGAAGTTACTTCTGTCTTTCTCGTCAAAGTGCCGACTACTCCCCGTCTGTGGGGTCAGGAATCACGCGATGTAACCAAGCGGGCACAATCGGAAGAAGACTCCCGGATTGGTGTTCCGTACCATATCCCGTACCGTGTCCCCAGCGCCGTCGTCTACCAATCTTCCCCTCTGTATTCTTTCATAGCCCCACCCACCCCTGGCGCCAGGACACGACCCCCCCCCCCTCCCCGAAATCAACCCATGGCATATCTGGTCGGCACAGAACGCACAAAAAGACGATGAAACGGAGCCTGGGCCGGCAAAAACCCGGTGTATCGCTCCGTCCCGACACTGTAGAGATGCGAGGTCAATGCTCTAACGAACTAGGTATGCATATACACGAGTACCCCCCCCCCCCCCCCCCCGGGGTTCCCCCCGGGGGGGGCCCCCCCTTTGGGGAGGAAAATTTTTCCCTCTCCTACAAAAAGCGGGGGGGCCAGGGGCCCAAAAAAAAATTGGGGGGGAAGGGAGGAAAAGGGGAACCCCCCCCCCCCACACCCCCCCCCACATTTCACCCCAAACCTTTCTTTCCCCCCCAACTTTCCGGGGGGCCCCCAGGGCCCAAAAAAGGGGGCCCCATTTGTGGGACCCAACGAGTTTTTTAGGGGTCCCTCCTTTACCTAACCCTCCCACAACGTGTTGGAACCCCCCGGGCCCTTCCCCCCCGGGGGGAGGGTTGACCCGCATTCCCCCATTGGGGTTTTGGGAAAGGGGGGGGGAAAAAAGGGGGG